CTATTAATGACTCAATGTTAATGTTTATTTACAAGGTTATTAGCCTTGAGATTTAATGGTCACATTTAATGAAATACAAGGCTTACTGAATATTCGTTTATTAATTATAATTTCATTTTTGATGTTAGGTTTTTATAAATTTATCCACAGGAAAATTGATTTTATATTATTTAAAACATTGATTCCAAACTTTCAAACAATAGTACATACCAAAAAATCACTAAAGCAAATCCTGAAAAAATATCCTTCTGCTTACTTTTGTATCCCGACTGACCGTAATTCTGTATAAACACTGGGATGCTAACTGTTGTATTCTGAATTAATGATCTATATATAGACTTGTATGTAAACTGTCTATATTTTGTAGCTTTGCAAGGCTGATCTGTGCCAGTAAAGAAATAAAATGTATTTTGTAAAATTCATTTATTTGCTGAAGTATTTCTTCAAAGATTTCTTTGCTGATGGCTTTCCTTTCTCGTGTCGGTCACTCTGTGAGGTACGATGACCTTTGGAGAAGCCATGCTCATATTTATCTTGAGATTCTGGTTTCTGTGTTTGTTGTGAGAGCGTGACTGTAAATAAACTCTGACGAAGGTGTGGATCCAGTTCTCAAAACGATATGCTGTGCCAATGAAAAGCACTTTATTGGCCAAGAACAACTGTTGCACCATTGCTTACAGTACTGTGTTACCAATATTTAGGCCTAATTCAGGCATAACAGGTACAGACTGCAGTGCTTGATTTGTTGTTTTCGTTCGTGTGTGAAGACTTTGCCCCGTTTGACTGAGTTCAATTGAGAGGTATAAACAAATATGGTGATGTTTTGTCTTTGTAGAGCTGCCTGTTGACCGCCTGCTCTTCAGCTTCAGTGCACAGTGTGGCACAAATTAGCGAAGCTGGTGTAGCAGTTTGTCAGTGGCTGAATCTGGCTTTTATACCAAAACAGTGCACTGGTTGTCCAGTATGGAACTGTGCACGCATGGCTGAATCTCAGAAGGCTATTTAAGGTTGGTGCAGTGTAGTGGGTAACACCTCTGCCTTCTGTGCTCTAGACTGGGGTTCAATCCCAGCCTGGGAATGTACCCTATGCTATACCAAGAAGAGTCCTTGGGCAAGACTCCTAACACTACCTTCACCTACCTGTGAAAAATGATCAAATTGTAAGTCGCTCTGGTTACGCTCTCGTAATGTAAATGTATTTATTAGACATGATGCACTTAACGGGAGCAGGAGCCACTTTTTTTAACATGTAGTGCACTATGTAGGGAGGAGGGAGCCTTTTGAGATTCAGCCAGTGTTTTGATTAGGACAGCATTATTTTGAATGAAACAGCTTTATTATAGACAGAGCTGACTGTAGGGGCTGCGTTTCACGTGCAGCGTGAGCACCCATGTTGCGCTTTGGCCGAACATGAGGGGCGATTCAAACGTACAGTGTGAGTCACCAAAGAACACGATTTATAAATTGGCACAGTTTATGCCTGGCTTATGTTTTAGCGATGGCTTAGCCAAATAGTCACAATAGTCACAGTTCTGGATTCTGGCTTTTGTGCATGAATGTTGATCAACTATCTGGCACATTAGGAACGCAGGCCACAATAGGCCTGGATGCCTTACAGCTGAGCAATGTTTTTCCTCCTATCTATATTTGTGGGCCAGTTCTTTGTGCTTATTTATGGGTTTATTTTATTAAAACAAATGATTGGACATTCCATTTTATATGTATCATAATAATAATGAAATTACTGAACCTTTTCTAAATGTTTCAGTAGTGAGTGTTTTGGTGGTGACAGTTTTAGCAGTTTGAGCAGAACCCAAAAACACAGCCAGTACATGACTAACACAGCACTGAAACACAAAAAAATGACTTAACTTCAAAAAAATTGTGATGATTCTTAACTTTCCACACTGATTTTCAGAGTCTGGGACACATTTACTTCAATGGGATCTAACTGCTCACCATGTGGCCATGAGGGAGGTTCCACCTACAGACTAAAACTGTCTTTTACTAGTGACGTGAAACATGGGACAGCATTTTTATTCAACTAATGATAAATGTAAATCGTTCAATGTCACGTTAATAGGAAAAAAATCTTCAAAATATTTAAAAAATACATAAAATTGTAAGTATTATTTTCCCAACTGTAAGTTTAGGGATTAGGTTTCGGGACAGACACCCACCAATAGAAAGAGCCCTATAAATTATGATTTTGTATATTTTTAGCTGATTACTATCTCTATTAATGCCTTGTGTTTAAATAGATCAGAACATATATCTTGATTCATTGAATACAGTTGACAGAAGAGGAAAAATGGGAAGATTTTTTGTTTGTTTGGTTATTTGTTTTGCTAAACTAATCTTCATTCATTGTTTAGTTTGAAGATTTCCAATGTAACTGAACAATCTGCTCCCTTTAATGGAATAAAATGGGCTGAACTGTGAGCCAATGAAAGCTCTCAAACGGCCGTTTGGAGGTGATAAGTTGTTTGATTAACCTGATACCAACTATGCAAATGTTGTTGTGGAGTAGCAGCCATTAAGAACAGCGTCACACGTAACTGGTTTCTATGTGTCACCTGTGAACTCCTGCAGAACTTCATTACCTTCAGTATCTTAATGAAAGGAGAGGAATCAGAAAAAAATATTTCATAATTAATCTACTGATAAAATTATACATTCTGAGTATATTATTAACTTGATAACAACATTAATAACAAAATACTCAGGGGTCATTCTACAGAAACGTCCATTTTTGTGTTCCTAGCGTTTACAGGTATGTTACACTTGAAAAACATGTTAGGGTTACAATTTATTTATATTTTCAAATAAATTAATAAGTTATTTTAACAATTACACCTTCTTGATCCATCAATTTAGCAATAATGGTTTTTAAATCAATTACCTAGAATTCCAAGCACCACAGAAGTGCTCGTCCCCACAGTCATGTGTAAAGGGTGAGGCCATATTTTGAAGTAAAAACATGTTTTTCTGCAATTTTAACTACAATAATCTATACATGACTATGGAATATATGCATTAAATGACATAAAGAAAACAAAGGCCAAATAAATATTATAGAATATATAATGAAGGTTGTTGTCCCCAGGAGTCGTGTCACTAGTGTTACTGTGTAACAAAAAATCTCTTATTTTAAAATAAAAATCACACTGATGACATCACTTGACTTCTTATTACCTGTTTTATGAGGATCTATGAAGAAAAGCACATGGTGAGTCCACTGTGTCTTTCAGTTATCAAACATTTTCTCATTTATCTCATGAATTCATATGAAGCTTTTAGCTGAAGTCACTGGTGTGACCGACTTTATTCTGAGGTAATTGTGAAAAAATAGAATACAAATGGATTAAATTACATATTTTAGTGGACATTCCATGATTGACAACATGTGGTTTGATGCTCTGTAGCAGCCGTTTTGTAAAATGCATTGTTCATTAAAAATGTCTCTGGTGTTACCTTTCTTACATGTAACACCAATGAGGATCAGTAGCACCAGTGACTCCTATGGAGAGATAGAAAAGTGGACATTCCTGTAGAATGACCCTCATATTAATAGATTTGCTGCTTTAACTCTTCACTGTAGAGGTCCAGGATTCACTCTCAATTACCAGGCACCCACTGTGTTGAGACTGGATTCATATCTCCCACCATAAATGTTCATCTCATGACTTCTGTGATGACTCACTTCTGTTGCGCAATCACATGCAATAGTCTTACTTTACTTTCAGTACTGCTGTAATCTTTTGATCACCAAAAATGTTCCTGTGACGACTTACTCAGACTTTGTTTGGTGAAATGACCCATGAGTCACTCGTTTCATGTGAAGATGTTTTAGAACAATGTTTTGTTGCGTCTCCTTCCACAACATGCTTTGTGATCTGTATGGATGCCAGTTGACAGTGTTTACACTCCTCCTTCATTTTTCACTGCAGAAATGAAGCATAAATACCATTTCGCTGTTATCGGAACAAAACCTTGTATCTCCAAAATGGTAACTTTACAGGAGAAGGAAAAAACCTACTTTACTCTTAATGTAAGTCAATGGAACCAGACGTCTTTCCAAGTCATTTTGGGTTGTTTGTTTTAGTCCATTCATCATGACATTTACACACAATGTAAAGGGTAACATGTGTTTTCAAATCTTGCCAAAAACTGAAAAGCATCAGAGGTTTTGTTCCCACAGCAGCGATTACTTGTATAATATGTACCATGTAATACACTAGTGAGAAGAGAAGGAAACGTTGTGTAAGGCTGCCTTACAGGACACACATAACACATGCATAAGGTGGATGAAATCACTCTGGATGGTGAAGCAGAGTCTGATGTGTGTATAATGTCGCTGTTTTAACCCTTTGCTGGAATATGAAGGCCAAACAGCAGAGCAATAATATCAGGATTTTAGGTGATGTTCCAAGCCAAATTACTCACTGATGCTGACATCACAGCTTGATGACATGATGCTTGCTTGTTAGTGGCGGGTCTGCTGACTGTCCTGATATGTGGATCATGTTTGTATCTTAAACCATTCTGAAGTTATGAAGGCTATGCCATTTATATCATAAAACATCTTATGTAGCCTGACATGAGTTGTTTATATGCTCAAGTATTGCTTTACAAATACCCTGATTCAATGTTTTTGCATGTGTTATGAAACCCCTATGCCTTCAAATCTTGGACCACTTTTACCAGCATTCAAACAAGGTAAAGAGCAGCTGCTGTTTTCAAATGCTGCTAAAAAGTTGTGATGTGACAGTGATGATATGCTAATGCTAACAGTGGTGGTATCTGTTTGCATATGCTTTAGTATTTGCCTTAGTCAAAGCAGACTGGGGGGGGAAGCGTGAGCTTGTTTTAATTCAGAAGAATGCTGACAGTCTCTACTAGGAACTTGCAGAATCTGGCTGGTCTGGAAGAACCGGCCTCGCCCGTGAAAGTCCTCCTCTAACAGGCTAGCACTTCCTGCTTGCTGCTCAGATGTGACAGTGCGAGGAGCCTCAGTCGCAGCAGCTCTCAGTCTCAGCTGGCTTCAGGATGGGTAGGATCGCTAAGGAGGTGTCGGGTCAGACCCTCTGCTTCATCGGTTTTGTGGGCACGTGCCTCACCTGCGGCATCCCCATGTGGCGCGTGACCTACTACATCGGCGCCAACATCGTGACGGGCCAGATCATCTGGGATGGCCTGTGGATGAACTGCGTGATGCAGAGCACGGGCCAGATGCAGTGCAAGATAGAGTCCTCCATCATGACCCTGACCCAGGACCTGCAGGCCGCCCGCGCCCTCACCGTCATCTCCATACTGGTCAGCTTCATCGGGGTGCTCTTGACGTTCATCGGCGGCCGATGCAGCAGCTGCCTGAAGAACGAGTCCTCCATGGCCAAACTGGTCATCTTCGGAGGTATCCTCTGCATCGTGGCCGCTGTGATCTGTTTAATCCCCGTGTGCTGGTCGGCGGCCTTCACCATCTCCGATTACCAGAATCCTCTCGTACCCGCCACGCAGAAGAGGGAAATAGGCAGCTGCATATACATCGGCTGGGGCACCGCGGCCATTCTTCTTATCGGAGGGATCATCTTGTGCACCTCTTGTCCACCAAGAGAAGACATATACCCAAATAACCCCAACATGTATCCCTACCAAGGGCCGATGATGGGACCAGCGGGACCCTACATGCCGGTCAAAACATATGCGCCCAGCGTTGCGTATACAGGGACTGGAACTTATGTTCCCAACAAGCCATATGCGGCTCCAACATACTCAGCCGTACCTGGACAATATCGATAAGCCACATACATTACATGGACTCCTGTTGCTGTAAACAATGTTCCAACCTGGTAATATTTGTACAGTAGCCAGCATTCAGCTTCAGTGCTGACCTCTGAGGATGGATCTTCAGTAAAACTTGTTTAGCAACTTTTATTAAGTTCATTTTTCTGATGGTCAAGCTGCAAATGCCTGTAGAGTATTTGTTTGTATATTTAAGCACATTAAACAGATTAAAAGGCTGATTCGTATATAGTTTTGTGCTCTGATGTTGTTATTTTGCTTATTTTCATTGTTGCTAGTTTTAAAAAAATGCTTTTGGTGGAAAAGTTGTCCTCTCCCGCATCATTTGTCAATAAAGAAAATTTTGTATTACAATTCTGTGTGCATGCTTTGTTTAGTTGCTTTTCAGTCAGGAGTCCAATAACATTTTTTTCTAAAATTTCTGCCTAAATTTCTTCTGTCTGTAATGTTGATGAGGGTAGAACAGTGAAAAATCTGAAAAAAAAAGTTTCTATAATAAAAACAAGTTTTCTTTGGGGATTATTTTGCCTCACAAAGCTGTGCGTGTATCCCTCCGCAATAAACTAATTATAAAACATATGTTTAAGCTCACAGCTTATCACAAATCTTTCATGAAACAATGTCTCGGACATCAGGCATTGCATTCATAAGTATTTGTGTATTAACTTTTCTGTGAGGGAGCTTTCAGAGGTGGACGTCTGGTTTCCTATCACCACCACTGCAAACAATTCTGACTTTGTTTACATCTTAACTATTTAAGTATTCAGGAATTTGAAATTTTCCTATACAAATTCTTCTAAATCTTTTGTAACTACTGTATCATGAGTGATTATGCTCAGACATTGTTGTTGTTGTTGTAACATAAAGAAACAATAAAATGATTTTATTCCAAAGAAATTTTGGATTTCTTTTTTTTTTTTACTGGACATTTCTTATAAAATGTTCACAAAGCATAAAGCTGGTGTTGTTAAACAGAGCAAAAAAGTATGACAGCAAAAACCTAAAAATATATGAATAAAATAGCCTAAATAAACAAAATAAACATTATCATATAAAATGTTGCTTACTTAATATAAAACACTATGAAAAACAATACGTGATCCCACTGCCCTGAACAAGGCCAGTGATTTTAATGTCTGGACCGAAACGACACTTCCGTAATTATGTCTTTTATAAACATGACAGAAACTTTCATTTCACACTATCATTCCATAATAGGCTAATTATTCAGCTGCTACTATAAATTATTAAGTTATTACAATGTAATTACTGTGTAAATCTGATGAAGAGAATAATGGCTCCTTGGAGTTTGAGTTAACATAGTAAAAATGGTACAAAAAGTGTAACTGAATGAGAAACTTAAATTTACACAAATATATCGTGTTGTTTTTGTAAAGTAAAATGAAAATACTGGTTAATTTTCCCATGATTATGTCTCAGCCTCTCCCTTCCGCCTGAACGGGGCTTTCTGTTGACGCTTTGGGTATTGGGTATACATTTCTGGCCTGTTTACTTTCAAATGCCTTGTGTTTGATGCGCATCTCGTCGAAACTGTTCCTGAGGAATCCTGTCAGGCCTGAAACCAAACCTGCAAACTGGTTTCTGGTCTAGCCATTGGCACCTCAACTCCACCCTTCCAAAAAGACCTTATAACTTGAGGGGTAGAAGGACGTGTTTCATTATTCAGCCACTGCAGCAGATCGCAGACGAGCAGAAGTGTCCTCTCTGAGCAGAACAGAAGCAAAATGGTATCCATGTGTCGCCAGATGCTGGGCTTCGCCCTGGCTCTTATTGGTTGCCTGGGGACCATCATTATTTGCGGGCTGCCCATGTGGAAGGTGACGGCCTTCATCGGGGCGAACATTGTGACGGCGCAGATCATCTGGGAAGGCCTGTGGATGAACTGCGTCATGCAGAGCACGGGGCAGATGCAGTGCAAAATCTACGACTCCCTGCTGGCGCTGCCCCAGGACCTTCAGGCGGCCCGGGCGCTGGTGGTCATCTCCATTGTGGTGGCCGTGTTTGGGATCATCCTGGGAATTGCCGGAGGGAAGTGCACCAACTTTGTGGACAATGAGATCAGCAAGGTCAAGGTGGCCATCGCCAGCGGCGTCACCTTCATCATTGCTGGAGTCCTGTGCCTCATCCCCGTCTGCTGGTCCACCAACACCATCGTCCAGGACTTCTACAACCCGGTCCTCACCGCCGCTCAAAAGAGGGAGCTGGGGGCTTCGCTCTATATCGGCTTCGGCGCTGCTGCGCTCCTGATCCTCGGTGGAGCTTTGCTCTGCACTTCTTGCCCACCCCAAGAGGATAAACCTGTCTACAAGTACTCCCAGCCACGATCCACCGCCACCAGCAGAGCGTACGTCTGAGGATCACTAAGAGGTAGCACCTCTGCTGGGAAAGAGGAGATGGACATGAGATATGTAGATGTTTGCTGGGACGTGTGAATGTACTCGTGTGGACTAACATTTGCAGATTTATAGTGATAATAAGTGTTATTAATGAAGAAAAATGTATGCAAATGTTGGAGGGTGAAATTTTATTAGGTTAATTTCACCAGAAATTGATGAAATATTAGCTAACCATACAAAGATTACACTCCTTTAAACTATAAAGCTGTAAAATGTCTTTGATTAAAAAATATGGACTTTTTTATACAGTAAGTACGCTGGTTAACTCTCACTCAAGATGTACAATTATATACATATAACGTATACATATAACATATAATGTATAATTGTTATATTATACTGACTATTCCATGTGATTGTTACATTCACAAAAAATGAACAAATGTGAGCTCTGTGAAGAGCGTAACTGTTACCTTTCACTCAAAATGTAAAACTGTCTTTTTTATTTATAGTTTAACATTTTCTTTTCCTGAACTGTCTCTGAAGGAATTTTGCACATAAAAATAAAATGTTTGAACATAATTCATGGTTTCATGTCTTTTTATGCTCAATAAGACAGAATTTAAGTTGATGAATCACCAATAAACCACAGATAATAAAGGCTTTTAAAAAGCTACAGTACTCGTATGGCTGGTTAGACAACTCCTCACCGAGTTACCAAAATAGAACAAAAATGCTGGATACATGGTCATGTTGTTTGAACGCTATTAAAATAAGATCTACAAGACATAATTTAAAGCGGAATGTCACCAATTTTTCAACATTTCGACACAATCCCTAAATAAACTGCTGAGATGTAAACAGAGTCATTCAGAGTGGTTTGGTGTGAAATGGTTGATTGTAGAGACTCTAGACTCTAGATTTCTTTACAGTGGTGGTGATAGGAACCAGGGGTCACCATGACTACAACACAAATATAGGCATTTCATTTACTATCCAAAACCACCAGTGAACCTAAATGTGTCTTCTGAGTTTTTATAGGGAATGTTGATAATCAAGGCCATTTCACCAAAAACAAACAAACAAACAAAAACAATAATGATGTACATGGGGGAAATGATTAACCCCTTAAATGGCCAAAGCCCATCAGTAGGCCCAAAGTTTCATTACACACTTCTATTACCTAAGAACAGCTCAGTCAGTTTGCATTGAAATCCTTGTAGTTACTGAATAATATGCTGTAGTTTGTAATAAGCCTGGAATTTTAAGGGGTTAAACAACCTAATTGTCTATATGACATAAATAAAGACTATAACGTTTCTCCACCAATTTCATAATTATACAAATTATATCAAATAAATAAATGCATGCATACATACATACACACATATTTACATACTCGTAAGGTTCCCTTGTGGCCTGGTGGCCGACTGCTTGTGCTAATTATGGCAACAAACAGTCCTGTTTATGGTGGTAAAATAGTGGTAAATCTGTTAAAATAAGTTTTCATTGGGCACTGAGCCTGCATGGAGTGTTAAACTCTTCAGACATCTGGTTCCTATCACCACCACTGTGAACAATTCTGACTCTGTAAGCTTCTCTAGAACAGAGCGTTTCACACCAAACCGCTCTGAATGACTTTGTTTATATCGTAACCATTTAATTACACAGAACATTTCAAAGATCAGTGGGATTCCTCTTTAACTGAATATGGCCCCATAACTTTGAGACATTATGATCTGTAGTGTCATCTTCCCTAGGACTCTAGGGAAGCCCTTTCAAATGATTATAATAATGTATAATTATTTTAATAATTTTTTCTATTACTATAAAATAAACTGCTCAGAAATACCACACAGCAAATCCTATATAGTAAAAGATAGGTAGTTTGGGATCTGTTTGGGGTTTGGCACATGACCTACATTCGCTCTGTGCCCCTCAGAGGCTCTACATTCAAATATGATGAGTGGCAAAGCAAAACCTAAGAGGCGATATTTACCACCTTCCTTTTTTCATCAGCAGTGCTGTAAACTACAAATACATTATCTGATATCATTGTTTTCACTGTGATTTCTGAAAAAGGTCACTTTTAGTCTGGAATATTTTGTTAGCAAACAGTTTTTTCATCCTCAAACCTCATTGTGGGTATAACACAGTTCATATGCAGTACTGTGCAAAAGACCAAGCGTTTGTTTATTTAATTTATATTTAATTTATATTTAATATTTAATTAATAAACAGCCATTAAGTACAACTTCATTTTTAGGAGATATTTCTGAGGAGATTAGAGGTAAGATGATCCACTTCCATAAGGAAGGAGAAAGGCAAAGTTTACAGAGAAAATGGGACTCCTAACAACCACCTGGTAGACACCAAAACTGCCCCCATCAGATAAACAGCACTTAAAACTCTCATCTTTGAGAGAGAGGAGAAAAACAAGCTGCTTCAGATCTGAAAACATCCACAGGTGTTTCTATCCATCCTTCCACTGTGAGAAGACGACTCAGTGCTATGGGTGTGAAAGGATGTGTAGCTGTCAAGAAGAACCTCACTGAGAAAAGGAGACGGACACATCAAACAAAGAAGCTGAACAGTGGACTGACCACCCCAGAGTCCAGACCTCAACACCACTGAATGGGTTTGATTACTTCAGAAAATGATCAACCAGCTTCTAAGACTGAATGAACTTTGGAGGTGTGTCTGTAGATTCTTTGAGGAGCTGAAAGTGAGTCTCCTGAAAAAAATGGAAGCTGGAATGAAGGTAAAGAGTGACACACTAAACACCTCTGTAATTCTCTGTTGAGCACATGTTTTCTGCTGTTTTCCAGGCACTGAAACATAATCTGTACTTGTGTGCCATTTTGACTGGAGATTAAATAAATGAGGGCCGGTTTCAGACTTTTACAGTTTACTGTGTGGTGATTAGATCTGATGACGCTTTGCAATTTTGGATGTTCTGGTTTGTGTGATGCTCTTTATGAGTCTCAGTAGAATCCAACCAAACTGGTTAGACATTGTTCCACACATCTTTCGGCTCAACTGTCAAAAATGCCACCAAAGGGCATCTTTTAAAGACAGCAGCATGGTTTCAGTACAGCCTAATCATCGTACTTGTCATCCTTTAGCAAACTTCTAACCCAGCGGTTCTCAGTGGTGGTTCTGGAGCACCCCTGGCCTGTTTTCCAGGTGGTTGTTAGCTGGCAAGTTAGAGCAGGAAAACTACTAAAATAGGCCAAGGGTAGTTCATAATCTAACAAATATGGGCCCAAACATGGGTCCACCCATGATCTCACGAAAAAAATTCTTTGCCCTGTACAGTACATGAAGTTGGAGACTTGGTCCACAAACTAACCCAAACATATATAATACTGAAAGTAGGGCATTCAGCTGTTTCTAATAGGTGCAATTCCTTTCGAGGTTCCTTGTAAGTTTCAACCACAGGCTTGTAAATTGAGCTGGACTGGAGCAAATACAACCCCCGCCTTCATTGTCCCAGGCACAAAGAATCCCGCACAGCTGGTATTCTTTCAGATGTTTCTGAACAACAGCACACACCTTATTTCGATGAACATTAACAGCCTGGCTGGTTGTCTCAGATGGCTTTCTGAGGAGAACAGCAGTCTGCCTCTGAGCGTTGGACGTGGTTGGTGAGGCGATGGCATCTATGGGTTTGCAGTTGCTGGGCTGCACGTTGGCCCTGCTTGGCTGGGTGGGGGTGATCCTCGTCTGCGGACTGCCCATGTGGCGGGTGACGGCCTTCGTTGGCAGCAACATTGTCACGTCTCAGATCTTCTGGGAGGGAATCTGGATGAGCTGTGTGGTGCAGAGCACTGGGCAGATGCAGTGCAAAGTCTACGACTCCATGCTGGCCCTCACCTCCGACCTCCAGGCCGCTCGTGCCCTGGTGGTGGTCTCTCTGGTGGTGGGGATCATCGGGCTCTTCATGGCCTTCGTTGCCGGAAAGTGCACCAACTTCATCCAGGACGAAAACAGCAAACGGAGAGCTGCCATCGGTGCAGGCGTGGTTCTGATCATCTCTGGCGTCTTGTGCCTGATCCCCGTGTCCTGGACGGCCAGCATGATTGTTCGAGATTTCTACAACCCCACACTAATGGCCGCCCAGAAGCGCGAGCTGGGGGCTTCGCTCTACATTGGCTGGGGGGCTAGCTTCCTGCTGATAATAGGAGGGGCACTTCTCTGCAGCTCCTGTCCACGGAATGAGGACCAAACACCATCACTTAAGTACCAGCTGGCCAACAAAGCTAGATCAACGAACAACTCGTTGCCCAGTTATAAGCCACCATCACCGAGGCCTTTCACACCTACATCAAAGACCTACATCTGAACACATATGATGGACATATCTGTGTGTATATATATATATATATATATATATATATATATATATATATTATATATATATATATATGGATTATATGTATAAGAGGTATAGATATGTTTAGAAATATACATTCCTCTGTAGAAGATATACTTTGGCAACACATATATATATATATGTGTGTGTGTGTGTGTATGTGTGTGTGTATACATATGTATATAGATATACATTCTGCTGTAAACAACACTATCTGTTCTCTGTTTGAAGGTTTTTTGTACTTTTATAGACTGTATGTATATCTATATGTAGATATAAGTACATATGCTTATATGTGTTGTATTTATCTATATAACTACATATTCTACTGTGAAGATAATCTTGGACAACAATGTCTATTGGTTTACATCACTATATTTAGATATACGTAGTACATAGATCTGTACATTGATTTACATTCAGCTGTGAAGACACTAACGGGCAAAACTCTCTTTTTATTTGATTTTTTTTTTTGTACTTTTATTTCTAATCTAGTACTTGCGACTTTCGCCAGTTCAATCCAAAATGTGTTGAATATCTTGTGAATGAAATTGTGCAACAGTTATAAACGCGATTGTGAGTTCCTTCTGCAATGTGCACCGAGGAAAGTGTTGTATTGTCAAAAACCTTCTATATATTATAGTTTGAGCCATTTAAAGGTTTAGGTTGTGAATTGAGTCATTCTTTTCTCGCTGGATGCAAAGGGCAGCAGGTTTCCTCCCTTCAGGTCAGCACACAAAACAAACCGGTTTTCCAAGGAACATCTGAGTACGCTCTTCCAGCACGCCCACGCCTCCAGCGTACCATGCATGCTCTTAGAGACAGTGAGGTTTTCATAACTGTGCTGCACCAACACTGCTCCCTCACTTTATCAGAACCTCATATGAAATTCTAGCGAATTCAGATGAGCTCATTCTTCATTCTGGGAGAGAAATATCTGCACCATTTCAGACCCTGAAAGAACTCCGAGCGCCGATGTGCTCTTGACCTTGTTTATAATGATCAGACAGTTTGAGGTATTTCAGACGTCTCCTTATCTAAAAGGAGTTTTATTACTCAGAAGAGAAGTTTATATGTTCACATCATAAGTCATGACAGATATAATGAGTTCTGAGTGCCTCTGATTCCCAAGAGGAAGTTTAAGCAGTAATTCAAAAAGACTTTCTGTGTACAAACATGTGCGTCTCATGCTCTGAAATGTGGACCATCAAGTTATCTGGTGACAAAAGCATTCTATTCTGATGTGAGCAACTCAGAACAGTTTTGATTCTCCTTGTTGCGTTTTTCTCCTGTAAAGTTACCATTTTGGAGATATGAGGTTTTCTTCAGACAACAACATGAGACCAGCACAACACACATTAACACACCGCCACCACGTCAGTGTTACTGCAGTGCTGAGAATGATCCACCATCCAAATAGTATCTGCTCTGTGAGGGTCCATGGGGGTCCTGACCACTGAAGAACAGGGTAAAAGGGGGCTAACAAAGTATGCAGAGAAACACATGGACTACAGTCTGTAATTGTAGAACTACAAAGTGCACCTATATAGTAAGTGGAGCTGATAAAATGGACAATGAGCATAGAAACAAGGATATCATAATGTCATAATGTTATGCCTGATCGGTATACATATATATGAATGGTGCCAAAACTTTTGCACAGGCCCCATTTTATGTTCTTTTCCTCTAATATGTTAAATTCAGTCAATAAACAGTAACTGTGTATTTCAAAGTGCAGAACTGTGTCTCCATAGAGGATGTGTTCACTTATTCACACCTACAAAATAACTTGACCAGGGGTGCACAAACTTTTGCATAGCATTAGTTTTTTGAGATGTTTTAAGATGTAAATCATTCTAACCTTGGACTGATAATTGGTATTACTGAAAATTGTGATCATTTAAACAAGTGCCAATATGCAAAGTATCATTCTTTCAAATTATCGTTTATAAATTTATATATATATATATATATATATATATATATATATATATATATATATAATATACAATAGAAAACACTGCAGTTAATTGTAGTCAATGTGATTATTACCAATGTAATTGCAGTCAATTATATGTTATCAGTTATAATATATAAAACAGAGCATCACCAACTGATTAATTACACACACATACACATACTCTAAATGCCACTTAGAAGGATTATAATGTAGATTTGCAGTCTTTCTACCAGAGATCTAATCTAGAGAGAATAGGGACCAGAGAGGAAAATGGACAAGCTTGTCCAGAAGAAAAGCTGACATGCCAGTTTCTCAGTATTTTGGTTTTCAACCAATCAAACCTCTTTTAAAAGTGTCACATGCTGCCTGTAGAGAATATAGTTTATCATTATATCATTATAAATTATTAAGAAGCCCAGTTGGCAATTTTACGTTTTTTACTAGGGATGCACTGAAATGGGAATTCTGGGCTGATGCCGACATCTGATATTTTTCACGTTCATATCTGCTGATGCTGATACATAAACATTTATAAAATACAGAAACTGGGGTTAGATCCACCTGGATTAGCACTGCAGAAAGATTTAACGTAATTACCAATCAATATAACATTTTATATGTTCAAAGAAGTGTAAAAATACAATAAAATTAATAAAAAAGCAGATATTTTAGTGCAGTAACTCAGTGTTGCCTAAACATTCTGCTGTTCTGGAGTTCTGCTGTTCAGTCACTTCGTGACTGAATTTGGATCACAATGATATCGTTTACCGTCATATTTCTGTAGATGATAATTGTTTGCCTACATTTACGTTATCATCCACCCTTACCCCTGGCATCGGCCGCCTGAGTGTAGTACCCAGAACATCTGACATATCATGTTTTATTCAACACTGCCATCTATTGATGGAATATTGTAATGCAGGCAAAAGATACAGTATTCTTAAAGTGGAGCTCCACAGATTTTTCAAAATTTCAGAATAATAATCGTTGGGATGTCAGTCATTCTATGTTTTAAATTCTATGTGTGAACAGAGTCTTTCAGAGTGGTTTGCTGTGAAATGGTTGATTGTAGAGACTCAGATTTCATTACAGTGGTGGTGATAGGAACCAGGCGTCACCATGACTACAAAACAAATATAGACATTTTATTTACTATCCAAAACAAGCAGTGAACCTACACGTCTTCAGAGTTTTATATGGAATGTTGATGATGCGACAATAGTAGAAAGCTATTTTAGGGGGGACCATTTTATCTCAGAAGACCCAGCATGTACCCCTCCACCATAATTTTTATATTTTTTATATTTAAAAAAAATATTTCAAGCCAGAATCTTCTCAGAACTATCATAAAACAGTGTCAGACATAAGTCAGTATGTTCATAACCATTTCATGTAGTAACTTTCTGTGAGGGAGCTTTTGGAGGTGGACGTCTGGTTCCTATCACCACCACTGTGAACAGTTCTGACTCGGTAAGTTTCTCTAGAACAGTGTTTCACTCCAAACCACTCTGAATGACCATTTAATTACGCAGAAATTTTGGAAAATCGATGGAGTTCCCCTTTTCCCTTTCAGATTAAGAGGTAATATTCATCCTAGTACTGTCTTCAAATGCAATTTATAAGTTTAATTTCTTATCCCTCACATCATTCTCTGCTCCTCTCCAGGCCCCTCAATGGCTCTGCAGGTCCTGGGCATCACCCTGTCCATGATCGGCCTGGCCGGCACCATCATCATCTGCGCCCTGCCCATGTGGAAGGTCACCGCCTTCATCGGCACCAACATCGTGGTGGCTCAGGTCTTCTGGGAGGGCCTGTGGATGACCTGCGTTTACGAGCGCACGGGCCAGATGCAGTGCAAGTTGTACGACGCCCTGCTGGACCTGGACCCCTCGCTGCAGGCCTCCCGTGGCCTTGTGGTCACCACAATGGCACTTGCATGCCTGGCCTTCATCATCTTCCTGCTTGGGGCGGACTGCACCAACTGCCTGAGTAACCCTCGGGCCAAGGCCCGCATCGTGGTGGCCTCTGGAATCACATTCATGCTCTCGGCCCTCACCACCGTGGTGCCCGTGTCCTGGACGGCTGACGCCATCATCAGGGACTTCCACAACCCCATAGTGCACGAGGCTCTGAAGAGGGAGATGGGGGCGGCCATCTATGTGGGCTGGGTCACAGCGGGGTTCCTGTTCGTCGGAGGGGCAGTTCTCTGCACCAGCTGCCCGCCAGAGAGGGTCCACCACTCGTCCAGATACACCTCAGCAAAGTCAGGCACCCAAAGCAGCTACGCCTTTAAGAACTACGTCTGAAGAGTCTAAATTAAAGGGCGCATATCCTACATTTACCTGAGGTCGCCTTATGACATTTGTGTGCTTTTATGTACCAACAACAGTCATAATTCATTTCTACGTGATTATTTTCTAAATACCTTGCTGTTCTATTAAACAGGCTTTCTGTTACTGTACCTTCTAGACTGATACAGGTAAATGAGCTCTGTTTTGATTTGTTGTCCTATATTGTGTCTCATTCAAAAAACACTGTAACACCTCTTATAACTTCAGTGTGAGTGGATGGGGCTAAACTGATGTAGACTGAACAAGCAGATTTACTTCACAAAAAACAATGAGCTGTAGTTTAGTTTCCATATCTGGACTGGGAAGTGAATGTTACATTTTTTTGAGCTTACAATGTTTTTATAATACTTAATACACATTTAATTTACTTTTTTTTAATGATGTGGGCCCTTTGAGGTGAAGGAATGGTTGGGTACAGGTGAGGCACATCATATCTAGGCCAAAAATCAAAGTTAGTTTTCTTCTGAGCCCAAATGGAACAGATCAGTTTACTGAGTTATAAGTACTCAAAGGAGAATTCAGGCCTGAATCTACAGTTTAAATGGGAATTACCATTTTTTTCAAAATTTCAATATAATTTACTGCCACTGAGATGTAAACAGAGTGGTTTGGTGTGAAATGGTTCAGATGTCTTTACAGTGATGGTGATAGGAACCAGGGGTCGCCATGACTACGACACAAATATAGACATTTTATTTACTATCAAAACCACCAGTGAACCTACACGAGTCTTCTGAGTTTATATAGAATGTTGATGATGGAAAACAGTGGAAAATCTTACTTTATCCCTCCACCATGAATGGATTGAAATAAATGGATTAAAATACATTTTAAGCCAAAACTTCATCACAAAACTGTCATAAAACAGTGTCTCAGTCATCAGGCAGTGAATTCATAACGATTTCATGTAATAACTTTCTGTGAGGGAGCTTTTAGAGGTGGACGTCTGGTTCCTATCACCACCACTGTGAACAATTCTGACTCTGTTAGTTTCTCTAGAACAGAGCGTTTCACACCAAACCACTCAAAATGACCCTGTTTACATTTAAACAACTTAATTATGCAGAAAACTTAAAAAATCAGTGGAGGTTCCCTTGAAGAAGACAACTTGACACCAAACATGACTTGGTTGATTGACTGCATTTGGGGTAAAGAGCTAAACTGTAAATTTGACATTTGGCTGAACTTTCGCTTTAACTGGGTAAAAGGAGAGCTACCATCAGATTACAAAGAGGCTTTATTTGTGTGTCACATGAGGGACTTTTACTGTCAGATCATTCCATTAGATCATCTGAATGATCATTTTGTGCTGACAAAGGGGAATTTGACAACATTTCTGCATTAATTAAATGGTTAAGATACAAAAACAGAGTCGTTCAGAGTGGTTTGGTGTGAAACGCTCTGTTCTAGAGAAACTTACCGAGTCAGAATTGTTCACAGTGGTGGTGATAGGAACCAGATGTCCACCTCTAAAAGCTCCCTCACAGAAAGTTACTACATGAAATGGTTATCAATTCACTGCCTGATGTCTGAGACACTGTTTTATGATAGTTCTGAGAAGATTTTGGCCTTAAAATCAATTGGGATGCATGTAGGGTGTTGTGAGGCAAACTAGTCCCCAAAGAAAACTTATTATTTCAGATTTTCCACTATTTTCCATCATCAACATTCCATATAAAACTCAGAAGACTCGTGTAGGTTCACTGGTGGTTTGGATAGTAAATAAAATGACTATATTTGTGTTGTAGTCATGGTGACCCCTGGTTCCTATCACCACCACTGTAAAGCCATCTGAACCATTTCACGCCAAACCACTCTGAATGACTGTTTACATCTCAAACACCAAATAAGGCAGAAATTGAAAAATTGGTGGAATTCCCCTTTGACTATCATTCAGGCCTTTTAATTATATCCAAAAAGATAATTGTGAAATGTGTGTTAAATATGTTACAGTAAAACTGAATACAGTATAATGATGACCTAAAACCCTACTGTTTACAATCTGTTTCACAATAACAGAATATCCTTTCCTACCTTGTACTTATTGGACACGTCCCCTTTAATATGTCTGCATCTGTTTGAACAGTGTTTCTTATTTGAATAAAATTTGGTTACATTTTTCGTATTTCGAGTTTCAAGTGCATCATTGTGTCCTATAAAGAGCTCCACACAGGACAAAAGAGGAGGCACACAGTGACATCATTGTCTTGGCCTCTGGGTGGAAAACAAGAGATTGAAAGGGAATAGGGACTGTTTTGAAACCATGGAATAAAGAAAACTGCACAAGCCCCGGAGCCTCGGGCGAACACTGTGCAGCCTCCACACCCACTGCAGGAATTCAGAGCAGCCGGTTTCCCTCGGTGGTTAGTCAGCTCAGCTCCATTCTGCTCCTCGAGCATGGACAGGAGGTTCGAGCTGGCCGGCTTTGGGCTGGCCTGCGCAGGCTGGATCTGCGCCATCTTCACCAAGTGCCTGCCCATGTGGAATGTGACTGGAACTGTGGACAACACCACGGACACTCTTGCCTTGTACTGGGATGGCGTTTGGTTGAACTGGCAGGAACTCAACAAAGGGAGCTTGCACTGCAACTTCTACATGTCTTTGCTGTCCCTGGCTGGCAGCTTTCGCTCTTGGAATGCCCTGCTTCTGGCCTCTATCATTATGGGAATCTTCCCTGTGGTGGGCTACTTCGTAGCTTTTGTGTGGTTTCCTCAACGCGTACAGATTAAGGCAGCGGCCGGGGTGGTCTTTGTCTTGATGGGGCTGCTGCTGCTGGTGGTTATATCCTGGGCTACACACGCCACTTACAGTGAACTGGACACCGCCACCCACCTGACCAAGGGCTGGGGACCAGCTTTGTACTCGGGATGGACGGGAACGGTGTTGCTGCTGACTGGGGGAGGAGGACTTAGTGCCTTTTGCTGTAAAGCACCCCCACAGGAACAAAGAGGACCCACAGGGCCGGAGGCAGACGACCCATTCTTGGCAATACACAGTGCTGCGTTCAATTCAAGCCCGTACAGACAGACTACAAGACCTATTTGAAAAACCTGCCGTAAAGACAAAAACACTGTATACTTCCGATGGAATTTTTTACTTATGGAACTTTAGACTAATATAAGACGGCTGAAAATTTCAGCTGAAGCTGCTTTGAAAGCAACAACTTCTCAAACTTTCTGCACATTTAAAGGGTTAAGATGTAAACAGAGTGGTTCAGAGTGGTTTGGTGTGAAATGCTCTGTTCTAGAGAAACTTACAGAGTCAGAATCGTTCACAGTGGTGGTGATAGGAACCAGACATCTTAAGTGTTTCATGCCTCCCACACAGAACATTACATGAACACACTGCCTGATGCCTGAGATGTTGTTTTATAGCCTAAAACACAATTAATAAAATCAAATCATACTAAAAAAACTCACTTTTAGTGTTTTTTTTTTTTTTTAAAGATTTACCACTATTTTACCATTAAATATTAAATATTATATACATACAAAACATATATAGCAGACAAAACTGGATAGGACAAAAAAAAGTCTATATTTGTGTTGTAGTCGTGGCAATCCCTGGTTCCTATCCCCACCACTGTAAAGAAATCTGAGTCAGTAAGTTTCTACTGAATGAACCATTTCACATCAATACCACCCTAAATGACTCTAAAACAATTTAAATTAGGCAGAAATTTTGGAAAATCTGTGGAATTGCCCTTTAAAGGCGTTTAAGGGTCAAAATAAAGTGAGGTCGTGTGTGTACATTTCATCATGACACTGTGACCAACAATTCTCAAAATCAACCTCTATAATTTATTAACACAGTCTGGTCTTCAACTGTAGGCTGTATATGATCCACTTTAAAAAGAATTTTAGCCAAGTTGAACCCAGAGATGTGTCTGTTTTTGCACAAAAGCAAGACGAGAAGTGAATTTGTATTCATGTTTTATTTGCACCTTCTGTAAATGTCCCGAATTTGGACATTACCTCAGTAGAACAAGCTGCACTGTTAGAAGGCAGATACTGCGGCACGTATTTGAGGAAGGCAAGCTGGATAAATACGCCAGTGTTAATTAGTACGGATACCTAATTAAAGGTAATCACTGTCTGTTAATCACTACATTAATTTTGTGCTTTTATTTATTTTATTCAATCCACTGCCTGTTTTGCAGTCAAGCACATAAACCACTTTAATTTTCACAGAAAATAAACCCCTTAATTGTGATTTGAGTTGGATTATTTACTTGCTCAATAGCCATTTCTGCTTAAACCTTTCAGGGAAGATTTAGTGGAGCCTCAGACATTTGTGGAAGCACTTGCATGTGTAAATTATAATAAAATAATTGGATTACTGGTCCACAAAAACACTTCGGCCAGTCTCTGTCTTACGTATTGCACAAACTAGCTTCAACCAATGCTGCTGAGGTCCTCATTAAATCCAGCCCTAAGTTATATTAATTGACAATCTCGATATAAAACAAACCACAAATAATATGTATATAGTTAGTGTGGTGGGTAAGATGTGACTGGGATGGGCTATTCTAGCTTCTCGTCCCCTTCTTCCACATCTTTCAGACTCAGCAACTCCAAGGAACCTTTTCCCTTTGTTTCGCAGCGAATCAGCTCATCGATCTCCCGAAAGCAGCCCGGATCGATCAAACAGACCTACGGGGCAAGAGAACGTACTTTAGCTGGGAAAATGCAGTGTTACAGGAGAATTTCATTGACCTTTTAACATATCTGCATAATTAAAATGTTAATTAAATGAAGTTATTTAGAGTGGTTTGGTGTGACACGCGTCATTCTAGAGAAACATGTCAAGAATTGTTCACAGTGGTGGTGATAGGAACCAGACGTCCACCTCTAAAAGCTCCCTCACAGAAAGATATTAAATGAAATGGTTATGAAAAAGTTGCCATGAGCATTTTTTACCACAGTTTTGAGAAAATTTTGTATATAAAAATTTTTTAACATACATTCATAACAGAACGTGGCTGAATAGCTCACTGTTTTACAATTATAGCACATATACCAAAAAATGGCTATATTTGCATTATGGCTGTATTAAACATCATAATTTCTGGTTCCTATCACCATCACTCACAAAGACAGGAGCCTGTATGTTTCTCTACAATTCAACACTTCACATGAAACCACTCTGAATGACTGACTGTCGAGCTCCTGAAATTTTGGAAAAATCAGTGGATCTCCCCTTTGAGCAAAGCTCCTAAGCAATTAAAGGCTAATAAAGACTGTTATGCAACAGAACTGAGTGTCCTTCCTCAGAAACGCACATGCAATGGAAAAATCTTCTGAATTAATATAACTTTTTATATATTAATATTTTTACATAAGCCAGTCAAACTTAAACTGCTCACCATCTCCAGCTGATCGTCAAAGTCTTCACTCTCCACCACCTTTATGAGTGGTTTGAGCTTCTCCTTCAGCCTCTTTCCTTCTTTGGCCGGCAGGATAAAGCGAAGCCGCATGTGAGCTCTCTGAATCTGCATGGACTCCTTCAACTGTCTGATGACCTCGAGTGCCTAGAGGGATTAAATGACATCGAGATTACTGACCAAAATTAAAAAGAGGGTCTGCTATCATTATTATAGTGAAGTGGTTACTGTAAGTAATATCTATATATGTATATCAATATACTGTGTTGATTTTACACATTATTCATCAGGCCTGCTTTTATAATAATAACAATAATAATAATAATAATTTTATAAAGCACATTTCACACAACAGAGCAGTTCAAAGTGATTTAAAGGGTATTAAAATAAAAAAGTGACATTAAAAAAAATGAGAAGAAAAAAAAAATAATGAAATTAAGACAATAATAGTTGAGAATCAAGTGAAACAGATGCAGGCAGAGCAGAGGTGGAGAGTAAAGAGAGTAAAATGACTGAGTGACCCAGCGCTGGTCCTCGCTGGTGCTCTGGAACTAAAGGCAGATTTTCCCAGTTCAGTAAAAAGTTCTCGGTACCCAGCATCTGATCCAACCACTGGATTGAAGTAATATATGCTGGCATACGGCCAGAGAGTGTTTTAGAAATAAAAGTAAACCAATGCATTTCCTGCTGTGTTGCTAGTGAGGGCCAACCAGCTTTTTCATTCAGTCTGCAGTGATGAGTGTTTATGCCTGAGGACATTTAAAAAAACAATAAAAGAATTCTGAAATCAATTCTAAAAGACACCAGTAACCAGTGGACCAGTGGTCTTTCTCTTGCGGGTCAGGACCTGAGCAGCTGCATTCTGAACTCTCTGCAGATATGCGACAAAGCTCCTGCGTAGGCCAGACAGGAGAGAACTACAGTAGTCTAGTCGAGATAACAGAATGAACAAGTTTCTCTCTATCAGCAAAGCACAGAACATCCTGATCCTCTGAGATGTAATCAAGGTGATGACCTGCTCTACAGATTGTATTTGTGATTTTTGAAGCTGAGCTCATCATCAAAATGACTCCTAAATTACTCACGCAGGTTTTGGCTCGCAGAGATGAGGACTGCAGTTATGCTGACGTGTCCTTCCTCTGTACTTCACTTCTGTCTTTTCTTTGTTTAGTTGTAAAAATGGTTTGTGTCAATTTGACAAATACAGTCGAACAGAGAGCTGATGGACTTGTAATCATTAGCTACCTTCACATTACAAGCCTCATTTCTCAAATCCGATTTTTTGCTCAAATCCGATCCTTCTGAGACGATGGTTCACACTCATTTAGCTAAGTGATTCAAATTTGTCATTAATGTGAACGAACCGGTGTCCTGAAATGACCCTCATGCGCACATCCTACTCAGTAATGTCACGTGAATGAATCACGTTCATCATCAGCAAACAGACTAACGAGCAGAACGAGCTTCACTGAGAAGATAATTAACTCTGATCAGCTCTCAGCTTCATTATTAAAGCGAGACGAAGGAGAAAAAGGTGAGATGAGCTGCTTTTCCATCTTTTACAGGCTTTAACTTCTGTTCGATGCTGCTGCCATGGTAACGCTGAATGATGGCGCAGCGCAGTGGAAGAAAAGCACATGAATTCCGATCTGAGCGTCACATTATGGTCACATATCAACGAATTGGATATGTATCCAATCTAGAACCACATATGAAAGTGGCTCAGGTCGGATTTGAAAAGATCAGATCTGAGTCACATTAGGGCAAAAAATCAGATTTGTGATACTTCAACCTAGTAATGTGAACGTAGCCATTAGGAGTCAGAAACAAGTACAGCTGGGCATCACCTGCGTACTGGTGCTAACCTATATTCTTCTTAATTCTACCATGAAGCAAATGCATACTGCATGACATTTAGAAGCTTAACTGCCTAAAGCAACAAAGCAGTCTCGGCCACTTAAACATGACCTAAACCAGGGTTTCTCGACCACTGGCCCCTAGACCACAAGTGGACTTCAGATACCCTCTGATGGTCCTCAGGCCAATACTGAGGGTGCGCCAGTACTGGCCAATCCTCAGGCCAATACTGAGGGTGTAATGGCACTTTGTTATTAAAAAAAAAAAGAATTGACATAACAATAAAATATTAAATGTTTTAAATAAAACGTTACACAATATTAATACGAGGTCTTAAACAAAATATTCTCCTCCCAATGTTTCACTTGTCCACTCACAAGCACTTAATTACTGCCATTCTGGTGACTTTTTATGCTCACTTATACACGTCAGGTACTGCAGGAGTGGACACAATAGCCTCATTTACATGCAGCCTGATAATCCATTAATAATCCGACTAATAGCTCAATTGGGATAGAATACGTCCATCTATACACTATAGGTGTCTATTCCGATTGAGGCCATTCGGAATACAGTTTCTATCTGATTAAATGTGGTGGGTAATCCTGTGAATAATCTGTTAAATAGAAGAATAATATCCGTGTGAACACCTGTATCTGATTACATTCCCAGTCTGAAAGTTTAAGTCCGTTCTGATCATGTGCGTCACGTCATAGTGAAAGTTTATACCGTCCAACATGGCGGAGCAGAAACTGGTCTGCAGAGGAGACGAAGTTTATGCTCTGATCTTTAAAAGACGGCGGTGGGACGGACGTCCAGTTTATGTGTCTCAGAACACGACGTCTTCCTCTCGGCCTTCTTTAATAAGGACATGTGAAGGACGTTTTCCTGAGACTGACATCATTTTAAAGTAATTAAAAACACAAGTGCTGCTCACTGCTGCTCGTCTCACTCTGACTGGACTCATGTGATGCTGGTTGTCATGGTAACGTCCACACTAAGTGTTACTCTACGCATGCACATAATTTTGGATCAAATTACTGGTAGTGTGCATGAAAACAGAGATTTTCATCAGATTTTTCATGACCGTGCATGAAAACACCTTAGGCTTAATCTATTATCGGAGCGTATTTAATCAGATTGGCAAAAATCTTTGCAAGTAAACAGCCAGTTTGTTAAAACATTTCACAAAAATTTTGTTTTTCAGCAAAAAAAGCTGTGTTTTTTTCCTGTGGGCCTTCATGCTTACTACTGACAAACAAGTGGGCCTTCAGGTAGAAAAGGTTAAAAACCCCTGATCTAAACCAATTTAAGACATTGCTAGTGAGTCCTGCCAACTTTTGCGGGCGGTAAAGCAGAATCTAGTGATCAACCTTATCAAAAAGTTGTTGCCCAAAAATGCGACGTGCCCTAAAGCCAGGCTGACACGTTTCATTAAGATGATTTGTATTAAGACAATAGACCACCGCAGTCGTGCATCATCCTGTAGTCCATATTAGGATCTCTAAGCTAAGAGTCTAAGCTTGACGACTCTATGGTCAGAATGAATGGGGTTTTCAAAAAACCACCTCTATTGCAAACAGTGTTAAATAAAAATGTTCAGAACCCGATAAGTTTTGTCCTGTGTACATTTTTCTCCCGAATACCACAGGATCCTCCGAGGTCGTTAAAGAGCCTTAATACTAATATTGCTACACTCAAGCTGATGCTACTGCACATCAGTTTGATGTCATTAAGCTACATGTCAGCAAGTTGGGCTGTGGCGGTGCTTTGACAAGCCGTGCTACCTAATCAAAATGTTCCATAGCGCATATTTACAGGTATACCTGGAAATAAAACCTCTAGGTAGGACCCCTACAGTCCTCTCGGCCCCATAAAGCTAACATTTTCATAGACAGACATAGTCAGGCATCCTACTGACCTGCTGCTTTGTGCTCTTAGTGGCTTTGACTGAGTAGTGAATGTCCTTCATGGCTCTTTCTATAAGGCTGACCGTGTACGGGCGCTTGGTTTCCGGATTTACACATTTCTCTGCCACAATCGTGGCAATGTCCCGGAACATCTGCTCCAGCTGACTCTGACGCTCCTTATCAGACACCTGAAGCTCTCCTTTTGCTAAAATCTGAAAATAAAGGAAAAACAAACACTGAGAAATAAAAAACACAACGTCCTAATTAAAACTGAACAGTCAGTAAAGGGAGCTCCAATGACAGAATGAAACAGGAGATAAATTTAATTATAAATCATCGCTGTCAGGATAAAAACCTTTTAATTTGCCAACTGTCTTTTACTTTCTGCCAAAATTTCAAATGACCAAGTATAAAATCTTGACAAAGTTGAAAGTTAAGACAGATTTTTCTTCTTCTGTAAAGTTACTTTTTTGGAAATATGTTTTGTTTTTTGTTTAATGGAGAAACAACTTTCACTGTATGTCCAAAAGTCTGTAAACTGTAGTCTGTAATGCTTCTTCTGAAATGAAGGGTATTAATAGTGAGTTTGTCCTCCTTTGCTGCAGTAACAGCCTCTACTCTTCTGGGAAGGCTTTACATGAGATGTTGGAACACTGCTGTGAGGATCTGATTGAGCATTAGGGAGGTCAGGTACTGATGTTCGATGGTCAGTTCTGGATCACTCCAACTCATCCCAAAGGTAGTGGATGGAGCTCCATCACTCCAGAGAACACAGTTCCACTGCTCCACAGCCCAATGCTGGGGGGCTTTATACCCCTCTAGACCATGGTGGGCTTACGTGCTCAGATCGTCTACTGGTTCTACTGGTCATTGCTTCTCTATAGAAATTACACAAGCTGTGGAGGTGCAACTGGGTAAGCAATAGATGCACCTTTAGGTAATAATTAGAAGGGGTGTTTGGATACTTTTGGACATATTACGCAGAATTTCAGGGGGCGATGAAATCATGGATAATATACTCGTACTAAGCGAAATGTTAATAGACAGGGTGATTCAAAAAGATTGATCCGATTTCAAAGCGTCAGGCACCATAGGAACCAATCACAATCCAATTGAAAGAAGGGGTCATAGAGTTTCTGTCAGTGGAAGATGACTCCCTTCAGTCTGTGAGGTGATGTGACCCCTGAGCAGAAAGCGTTCTGCGTTCTCCACTTCAATAAGAGTGAATCCGTCATAACTGTGCAGCCTGATTTTCATAGGCAGTGATCCTCCAACAGCTCAGAGTGTTCGTTGTTGGTTCCACAACACTGGATGATCTCCGAAATCGCACTGAAAGAGCCGCGAGTGCAGTGACACCTAATATGCTCAATCAAGTATGGGATGAGTTTGACTATGGCGTTGATGTTGTCCGTACAGCTGGAGGAGGTTCATACTGAGCACTTGCACAATTACATAATAAATTTATGCTCAATGAAACCATTTACAGTTTACTGCATTGTTCTGTAATGATTTACAAGTGAAATTAATTATTTTGAAATTGGATGAATCTTTTTGAATCACCCTGTATTATAATGCACTGGCTGATGGAAGTTGATCCTGTGCTTTTATGTAAAACTAACACTTACCTGTTTGCATATTTCTGTTAAATCATCTGTTCCAAATGATTTTGACAGATCATCCTTTTTGGCCACCTGGCCCTTTGACACATTTGTAAACACTGTGTGTGTCTGAAGTACTTCATCCAGATCTTTCTCCCTAAAATAGGAAATAAGACATACATAACTTCAGTACAGCTGTGGATAACAAATCAATAAAGTTATCTGTGCTGCAGGCAGATCCTTCACAAAGCAGACCTTGAGTCAAAAGGCAGAGGTAAGAGAAACTTTAAAAAAAGCAGATAACAACAGTCCAATAAGATGCAGGAACGTTTGCTCCTCGCTTTAACCTTCTCAACTCCTTGAGACCACCGGTGGTTCCAAAATGCACTTTGTCATATTCTTCATAACTTTCATATTTCATAAGCTACATTCAAAAGGTGGGTGTCATATGAGAGCTGTAACTGTCTTCTTTCCAGTCAAATAGATGGGTCATGTTATTTTAAAACTTTATAATAAAAGAAGCTGAACTCACTATTTTTTTTTCTACTGAAAGTCGACCCGTTTTTCCACAAGTCTGGGATATAAACTATAAACAGATGGTGTCTCTTCAGTGATCTGCTTTGTAAAATTTATTTTTATAAAAAAATACAAAGACCGTCTAAGTTTTTGGCTTTCAGCAGTAAATTGTAAGCATGTAGTAATATGTGTATGATCATAAAACACATGTTCTGTTAATCTGATGTCAGCTTTTAGAAAAATAAATAAATAAATAAAATAAAAATTTACATTTATTTCATGCAGTTACTGAATAATTTACCTTACGATTTGGTCACGTAAATTCAGAGGGAAAAACCAAAATATATTACGATTTACCTTTACTTCAGTTTTACTTAGGATTACCTTCCCTAAACTTATAGACTGGCTTTCACTGTTTACCGTACCTTAGCTTTGCAATTAAGTTTTCTTTGGGGACTAATTTAACCTACAACTCCCTGCATGTGTGGATGGATTTTATATGCATTTTAGGCCAAACCTGTGTCTAAACTATAATAAATCAATGTCTCAGACATCAGGCAGTGAATTCACAACCATTACATGTAATAACTTTCTGTGAGCGAGGTGGACGTCTGGTTCCTATCACCACCACTGTGAACAGTTCTGACTCTGTAAGTTTCTCTAGAACAGAGCGTTTCACACCAAACCACTCTGAACAACTCTGTTTACGTCTTAACCACTTGATTATGCAGAATTATTGAGAAATCAGTGGAATTCCCTGTTTATCAGTATAACTGAAGTTTGTTGAAGTTTATTCTTTTCTTCTTCTTTCTTAAAATGAGGGATGTCAAAAAAGAGAGGAGTGCCCTGTCACAAAGCAGTAGATGCTGACTAACAGAATTAAGTTGAAGGGGAAAATCACTGCATAATTAATAGGTTGAAATGTAAATAAAGTTATTTAGAGTGAATGATCTGTTCTAGAGAAACTTGCTGAGTCAGAATTGTTCACAGTGGTGGTGATAAGAACCAGACGTCCACCTCTAAAAGCTCCCTCACAGAAAGTTATTACATGAAATGGTTATGAATTCACTGCCTGATGTCTGAGACACTGTTTTACAATAGTTCTGTGACAAAGTTTTGGCTTAAAACGTATTTTAATCTTTTCACAGCAATGGGGCACATGCATAAATGTGAATAGTCTCTCAAAGAAAACTTTTCAGGTTTTCTTCTATTTTACCATCATCAACATTCCATATACACTCTGTATATCTATATTTGTGTTGTAGTCATGGTGACCCCTGGTTCCTATCACCACCACTGTAAAGAAATCTGAACCATTTCACACCAAATCACTCTGTTTACATCTCAAAAACAGGAATTTAAAAAAATCGGTGAAATTCCCCTTTTTAGCCGAACAACGCTGCTTCATATTAACGTTTGCCAGATAATAACATGGTTGAATCATTTTGGCAATTAATAAGCTACAAATTCCGCTGCGGTGTACGGAGCCCCTCTAGTGACACCCTGCATAAATACAAATAATTTTAAACACGACTTAGTAAGCCTTACTAAGTCGTGGCCAGGCATTAGAATCTCGTTCCCACGCCTTGTTTTTATTTATACAGGACGTCACCAGCGGGGCTCCGTAGTGGTGACAGAAACACAAGCCGATGATCTTTATGACGTTAACTGAAGGTAGTAACTATCTTATTCGAACTTCCCGTTCCACCTTAAATGGAACAGACGCCAGAATGTAACTGTGGCACCATTTAAGGTGGAACAGGAAATTCGAATAAGAAGCTGGTGAATCCGATTTCAGCCTCGATGGTAGAAACACACTCAGTTTAGCTTAGCTTAGCCACATTAGCCCCGTCAGATTAACACTGACATGCTCAGCGGAAGCTGCTACTCACGCTCCGGATCTCCAGCTCATCACTTTATTCTTATAACAGGCGATTTCAAAGCGCTTCCCGCCCTTCTTCATCCTCACCACGGCCACGTTAGTGAGCCGGATCTGATTTGTGGGTGTAAAAATCGACATTTCGGTATTTTTGATAAACGTGACAGCACACGGGTTCGCCCGGCCTCACTTCTTCTGCTGCTGCTCGAATCTTCCTTACGCCGTTCAGATGGCACTACTGCCCCCTTCTGGACCGACCACTCTTATTTTTTTTAGTTTATTTTTTTGTGTAAAATGTTTTTCTTTTAGTTTTTTGTATATGTTTTTTTTAAGTTTTTATGTGCATTTTTAAGTTTTTATGTGTAATATTTTTGAGTTTTGTTGAGTTGAGTTTTGTTTTGTGTTTTTTTTGTTTTTATGTGATTTTTTTTAGTTTTCTGCTTTTTTTTGCTTGTAATTTTTAAAAATGTATCAGCATATTGTATAAACAAGTAAGAGGCCACAACCATCATAGCACACAAACCATGAGCCTAAAAAAGGAAAAGGTGCAAAAATATGAGCTAAAAATGTCATTGAACAAATTCACCAATTTACCTGCTAATTACAAGGTTTTCCATGATCAACTGTGAGTGGTATTGTTGAAAAGTGGAAGCATTTAGGAATCACAGCAGCTCAGCCACGAAGTGTCAGACCACACAAAGTTACAGAGCGGGTCGCCAAGTGCTGAGAAGCATAGAGCATAAAAGTCACCAACACTCTACTGATCAATAACTGAAGAGTTCAAACCTGCTCTGGCATCAACACCAGCACAGAAACTGCACCAGGAGCTTCATGACATGAGTTTCCATGGCTGAGCAGTCAAATGCAAGCCTTACATCACTAAGCACAATGCCAAGTGTTGGATGGAGTGGAGTAAAGCGCCGCCACTGGGCTCTGGAGCAGTGGAAACTTATTCTGTGGAGTGACAAATCAGCTTCTCTATCTGTCAGGAAGAACCTTTTCTGTTCCAGCATGACTGAGCCCCAGTGCACAAATCAGCTCCATAAAGTCATGGCTGGAGGAGTTTGGTGTGGAAGAACTTGGCTGGCCCTCACAGAACCTTGACCTCAACCCCATCCAACACCTTTGGGATGAACTAGAACTAGATTGTGAGCCAGGCCCTCTCGTCCAACATCAGTGTCTGACCTCACAAACGCTCTTCTGGATGAATGGGCAGAAATTCCCACAGACACTCTCCAAAATCTTGTAGGAAGCTTCCCAGAAGAGTGGAAGCTGTTATAGCTGCAAAGGGGGACCAACTCCATATTAATGCCTATGGATTTAGAATGGGATTCATAAAAGCTCCTGTAGGTGTCCCAATACTTTTGTCTATATAGTGTACAGTCAGTGAGCTTCTGCCTTTGGTGTTTTGAACTAACCAGAGCTGCAGCACTGCTCTGCCTCAGGGTGGCGCTGTAGCAGACTGGTTCACCCAGTTGTTCCATTATAACCAGCACCTATAACTAAGCCCAGGATTCCTCTGAAAAACTTTACAATATGCCTCAGCATGTCTGTAAATCTGAAAAGACAGGAAGGAGATCTGTAAAATGTCAGTTAATGTGAGGAAGAGCGCATTTCCAAAATTCAAAACCAAACATTTTGCTGCCATTGAAGCATCAGCACATCTATGGTGAGTGAGATAGCAGCCAGTAAATGCTGGAGTAGCCAGCCAACATGGGACCCCCCAAATACCAGGGGGTATTTCACACACTGGCTAATTTGTCACAAGAATGCAACACAACCATATAATGTTCACATTCAGCATAGAAGGAGACAGACTGGTCATTTACCACTGATGGATAAAACATTTGGACATGAGGGTAACAGTGTTCATAAAGAGGTCAATACCAAAGTCACTAGAATGATCAAAAAACACATTTAAAGTATTCAGAATTAAATGTAAGTAGGCTGAAATTAAATTTGGCTGTACTGACGTTTCTGCTTCCAAGAAATCAAGAAAGAAGAAATTATTTAAATTTAAATTTCTAATTTATTTTATTTGTACAGACAATATAATCAATTAAATTTCTTCTGTATGTAGTTAATAAATATTTATTTTTTAAATTTTTTACATAAAATTTTCATTCATTTTATTTTTGCATTAGCATGTCCATTTGGCACTTATCTCACCGAACAGCTGAGGTACTAAAGTGCAATAGACAGTGATTTTCTTTTTTTGATGTAAAATAAAAGGATAAACTTCAGAGGTGCGAACAGTGTGACATAACACGATTAAACATAACACAATGTGAAAAACTGAATTTTCCTCACTTTCTTAAATATAAAACAAAAAAAGTGTTTGATGTAGTAGGTAAACGTTGGTAAAATTCCAGTCCATATAATACATTTAATAATGCATTTACATATATCCACTTCAGTCTACCACAGTTTAGCCCCACCCATTTATGTTCAAGTTGTAAGTAATCCTGTCTGCCTGGACTGCTTTTTGAATGAGGCAGCCAATCAGAGCTGAGATAATTTACATATATCAGTCTTGAAGGCATTGTTAAAAACAGCCTGTTTGAGTTTGGGGATAAAGAGATGTTGGAAAACGGCCATGTTAAAAAATGAATCACACTCATTTTTGTTGCATAAAACAACACAATGTCATAAGGATCTCAGGGGAGTTGGGTGTGTTGGGGTGGGTGATGAAGTACAAGACAATTGTAGGATATGAGCCCTTTAATGGCTAATGTAACTGAGTAAATGCACCCGTGCTGTAGAAATGAAAGTCTTATCATTTGAAGCACAAATCCATCAAAACTAAACTTGGAGAACAGTATTAATTACTACCCGCCTCGCCTTTGAGTGGCACGAGTGAGTAAGATATGTAGGCTGTGTTGTTTAATGACGCATGACTGGAGTCGACTCTTCAACTCCACTTAATTTTAACCAAGGCAGCTCCAGAGCTGGTGATAAAAGGACACAGCAGAGATCCTAAGCATTTTGAGTAGCAACAGATTACAGTGATTCAAAAATTCAGCTTATTTCACACAATGAGGTGCAGAGTGATGCACTGAGACAATCATTGCTGTAGTCCTTAAGTCTTTTTTAAGTACCTAAAAAAGAAACTACACTGATTTTTCAAAAAATTCCACATAATTAAATATTTAAGATGTAAACAAAGTCATTCAAAGTGGTTTGGTGTGAAATGTTCAGTTGTAGAGAAGCTTACCGAATCAGAATTGTTCACAGTGGTGGTGACTGACAGAAAGTTATTACATGATGGTTATGAATTCACTGCCTGATGTCTGCGACACTGTTTTATGACAGTTTTGTGATAAAGGTTTGGCTTAAAATGTATTCTAATCCATTTATTTCAATTAATTTATGGTGGAGGGACACATGCAGAGCACCATGAGGCAAAATAGTCCTCAAAGAAAACTTTTTTCCATTCCATATAAAACTCAGAAGGCTCGTGTAGGTTCACTGGTGGTTTTGGATAGTAAATAAAATGTCTATATTTGTGTTGTAGTTATGGAGACCCCTGGTTCCTATCACCACCGCTGTAGAGACATCTGAGTCTCTACAATCAACATTTCACACCAAACCACTATAAATAAAGGCTTAAAAAACAGTGGAGTTCCTCTTTAAACAAACTCACACCACTCAAACTCAGACTCTCTCCTGCATTATAAACTCTGTGTCCCTGGAGTCAATTACAATAAGAAAACACAGTTGAAGAGGCGACTCTAAGCATTTAAACTCTTAGAGTCTTTAGACCAGAGTCGACCCCAGACTCCCAGACATGCAGGAGTCGAAGAATCAATTCTTTTGGAATCAATACCACATCACTAGTGTTGTTATCATCCTCAATCTCTGTGGTACAGAAAAAGTATGTACATATGTTTTTTTTTTTTATTTTATTTTATTAAAAGAGCGGCACTCACAGCAAGAATGGCCTGGGTTCGATTCCCGGCCGGGCGACCAGGGTCATTTCTGTGTGGAGTTTGTATGTTCTCCCCGTGTCTGCGTGGGTTTCCTCCGGGTACTCCGGTTTCCTCCCACAGTCCAAAGACATGCAGTCAGGCTGATTGGACGTGCTAAATTGCCCCTAGGTGTGAGTGTGTGTGTGAATGTCTATGTCTGTCTGTCTGTCTGCCCTGCGATGGACTGGCGACCTGTCCAGGGTGTATCCTGCCTTCTGCCCGATGACAGCTGGGATAGGCTCCAGCACCCCACTGCGACCCAGAAGGATAAGCGGTTTAGATGATGGATGGATGGATGGATTTTTTTTAAATATATTTATGTATAGGCATTTAGTATGAAGTGAGCTGCGATTCAGGGCCATGAAGATGTACCCAATGTAATGGAATACAAATACTGGGACTGCAGATTCAGAATATAGAATTTAAGTATCTGTATTCAGTCCAAGTTACTTTTAATAAAGGCAGTGTTCAGAATACAGTTACTTTTATACTATTAGGCGAATACTTTTAGAATATTTACCTACTAAATAATAAAAAAAAATACAATATTCAAAAGAAACACCATCAATGCTTGTTAAACTATTAACTATGGCATGTAGCAAACATGCTCATTAAATGAATTCTAAGGAGGACTTCAATTAACGCATCATTACAAATACTGAAGTTCCCACTAAAGCCTGAGTAGACTGATAAATCAATGTGATCAGTTATTAATCTCAGTGTTACAGAGCTCTGCTAAAGCCTGAGTGAACTGATAAATCAATGTGATGATCAGTTATTAATCTATATGACTTAATATTTCATAGCAATTACTTACTATCTCCTAAAAATGAGATTCAATCCCATAATTAGGATTTAGCATGTCAAAATTATGACATAGACTCTCATAATTATGACTTAGTATCACATAATTATGACAGAATCTCATAATTATGACATGGAATTTTAGAATTATGGTTCGGTATCTCATAATTATGACTTAGCATCTCATAATAATTGCTTACAATCTAATAACAATGAGACTAAGTCTGAAACTAAGTCATAATTATAAGATTCTATGTCATACATATGACATGCTAAGTCATAATTATGAGATGCTGAGTTATAATTATGAGATATTAATAATATTGGAAAATTTTCTCATTATTGTAACTTACCAAACGGCTATATGTTTTTTCCAGTTGTGGAAACTGGCTTCCATAGTACATTGTCTTTAAGATAGTAATTAAGTAAAAAAAATGTACCTTAGCAAGATGTATTGTAAAAATATTAAAAATGTTTTGTGAATATGTTACTTATGACGGCATTTTAGGGCCACTGTTAATAAAATAAAAAAGTTGACTTCAAGAATAAAGTCGTACTATTTCGAGGATAAAGTGGGTAGAGTATTTCTTTATGGGTGAAATTGATATGAAAGCATAACTCCACCAACTCCTTCCCGCTCGTCATTTAACACGAGGAGGTGCTGCCTCCCCTTTGCAAAGCCTTTGGCCACAATATTGTGACCTTTCCTGGTAATAATGCCGCTTTAATGTCGGAATTCTACTTTTTTTTCTCGAAATATTACGACTTTTTTCCTGGGTAGACTGATAAATCAATGTAATCAGTTATTAATCTCAGTGTTACTGAGCTCTGCTAAAGCCTGAGTAGACTGAGTAGACTTTTTTCTCTAAATATTACGACTTTTTTCTCGAAGTCTACTGTTTTTATTTTCATTAACAGTGGCCCTAAAACGCCGTCGTAGGTTACTTTTCATGTATTGTGATTGAGTGCGTTACTGAACACATTTAGGACGGTGTATTCAGCCATCACTTCTTGTCAGATCACCCTGCTCAGCCCTGATGAAGACAGCCTGTCCTGTGGGAGGGATTGCATAACCCTGACCTCTCACCGGCTGCACTTTGAGTTCTGTTTCACGTGCTCGCACAGCCGAAACCAATCCGGAGAAGCCTTGGGACGTTACAAAACGGTGGATCCGTCCACAGTAGGGGAAAGGCGAGAGCCTACGTTATAAAATACTGCTTATAAACCAAGAAAAACGACATAGCCGGCCAATATTCGTATATTTACAACGTGTTTACATATATTTCTTCCATTCCGTGTACTGTATATGCGATCCACGGTGCTGTGATGGCGAAAATAGTCGCCCCCCACCTTTTCCAGCAGAATGGACTCGGCCCGTGTTGTATGTGCAGGTCGTGACGTCAGCAGACTTCCACACCGTCTAACAGCACGTTCACTTGTCAGAGCGAGAGAAGTGAGAAGGTGAGTTGTTTCAGATTTTAGAGGTATTTTAACGTGTTTTTTGAATGCGAACGATATATTTCACCCCATCCTGGCTCGGGATAGACTGTATTTATTTGTGTGCTGTGCTGCTTGTTGTCGTTTCTCACTGAAATCCTCGCTTAAACAGGTGTTTATTCCGGCCCTCCGAGTGCCGAGCTGAGCTGGCGAGGAAGCAGCATTAGTTAACGCGAGCTAACGCTAACGTTAGCTAGATTAATTTGGTTTTATTTTGTTTTAAATGGGTTTAAAGTAGTAAAACTGCTGACTTAAAGTCAGAAAATGTTTCGCAGTGTCTGAGTCGCGCTCCCCGATTAGCTATCCTAGCTTGCTAACGCTAGCTCACTCATTGGCGTCAATCTTCTCGCTAAAACGTTCTCTATTAAAAGGAGACTTTCCCCATTTTTTCAAAATTTCCACACAATTCAGTGTTTGAGATGTAAACAGAGTGATTCGGAGTGGTTTGGTGTGAAATGATTGATTGTAGAGACTTCTTTACAGTGGTGGCGATAGGATCCAGGGGTCACTAAGACTACAACACAAATATAGACATTTTATTTTCTATTTAAAACCACCAGTGAATCTACACGTGTCTTCTGGAGTCTTTTTTATGGAATATGGATGACGGCAAAACAGTGTAAAATCTGAAATAATACATTTTCTATTGGCACTATATTGCATTTCACACCAAACCACTCTGAATGACTTTGTTTACATCTTAACCGTTCAATTGTGTAGAATTTTTAAAACATCGGTGGAGTTCCCCTTTAACTTTGTTCGACAGTCAGTCTTATCTAACTGTAAATGGACTGTAAATAATTTAACGAAGGTGTTTATTCCAGCTGTGGTCGCTTGCGCATGCTTTCTGATCTAAAAAAAATATGGTTCTTCAAGGGTTCTTTAGTAAAGGGAATGGTCCTATTTATAGCTATGAGTTCTGTATAGAACCATTTCATGCTTAAATGCTTCTTCAGATTGATGGAGAATGTGTTGCATATGGTTCTATTGTGAAAATGGTTTTATATATCCCTAAAAAGGGGTTCTGCTGTTACAAGCTTGACATCTTAACAATAGCAGAACCCTGTTTGGTGCCGTATAGAACCAAATACAACACGTTCTCCATCAATCCGAGGAAACATTTCACCGTCCAGAGAACAATTTAGGCAAGAAATAAGTCTGTATAAAACTCATTGATCTAAATAGACTAAAGAACCCTCGAAGAACCATCTTTTTTGAGTGTGGAAGAACAAAACAGTGCTTTTTAAAACATTTTCCAAGTAACTTAGCCATGTTCCTAATGATGTGTTCTACAGTGTTGAGCAATAATGTACTCAGTAGATAGACAGAGACCTTTTCACATTTTTATGGCGTTCAGTGGGAGGTACCTTGGGTAACCTATGACCCATTATCTTTAAGAATATGTTGATAGTAATTATGTCTAGGTAATAAGGCTTTCTGGCTGCTACAGATCTACAGATCATGTGGCAACAACTAAAGTTAACTGTTATACACAAAATGATTCTCAAGTCGTTTTGTAGGTATTTATATCTTTCATTAATCCCAGTGTGTTGTCAATGGGACTGTCTGCCTATCTGTGCTGTGTTTAGGATAAGAAATACTATATAGCCAGAGCAGTTTTCACATAACATATAGTGACTGTTGTCTTATCTGAACACTAATAGCTCTCAGACTAAGTGCCAATGTTGGATAGGCACATTCCTCAGACACTTGTTGAGCTGGACCAGTTATTTGTTGGCTCTGTTTCATTGTTCCTGCTCTGCTAGAACAGTTTAGGTTAGTCTTATGCATTGTGTGGTTTCAGATTGCAGAGTGCGGCTCTGAGCGTCCTCAGTTACACTGCATGTCCGTTTTGATAGGCAGTAACAGCCTCTACTCTTCTGGGAAGCCTTTACACTAGATGTTAGAACATTTCTGTGAGGATTTGATTGAGCATTAGTGAGGTCAGGTACTGATGTTGGGTGGTCAGTTCTGGATCACTCTGGTTCTGCTGCTCTAGAGTGTCCCATTCTATTGGTCAGTGCTTTTCTATAGAGATACAAGCCGTATGCGCACAGTTGAGCACAGCGCTTGTGCCTAAAGTGAACAGTCTGATGTAGGGCAGTTTAGCTCTGCTCATTTACATTGAAGGACAGCAGTTATCAGCCCAGACTGCTTTTGAGTGAGGGCAGCTAGGCAGAAGTTAATTGTATAGTCATAAACGCAACCATTTTTAATTCTAAAGCATTAAAAAGTTGAAAAATGTTCATGTAAAAATGTTTTTTGGACATAAAGTGTATACAAAGTATACAACAGAATTGTAGGATATGGGCCCTCAGTTTACTCAGTAGAAGGGCTGTCTGGGTATGTTTCAACGTGCTACCCTTTCCCAGCCAAAGAAAACGTTCCATTTTGACGCTAGGGAGCAGCACAGGGTATCCCACGGGATAATGACTCTATAGGATAGTCGTCAAGGTGATCAGTAATAATGCACCACAGAGCTGTTTTGTCGGCTGAGGTGTTTTATAGCTGAGACTGTGAGGAAACAAAGAACTTGCCTGGATTACATGAAAATGGTGACACAAGTTAATGAGCTCACTATGTGCTGATATGTCATGGTTGTAATTCATATGTTGTTTTTTTTCCTATTTTCTTAAAATTACACCAAGAGGAATGTTAGAGTTGGGCAAGATGATATTTATCGTCATTGAGAAAAATGACGTGTGTTTTTCTAAGTATATTGTGGATAGTGTCAGTACTTTACTCACCGACTGCCTGTTTTATTACCATGAGAGCATAATTAGTCCAGTTTAGCTGGATTGAGTGACATAAAAAGAGTTTGTTCCAACTTTTTAGACTTCAGAAAAACTAAACACACCAGATAGAATGCACACCTATTGAAAGGAAACATGCTATTTATTTATAGGGGTTTTAAACTGTTATTTCAAAGCAGAATGAAAGTAAATGACACGCTGCAGTAGGGCTGGGCAGTTAATTGAGAAGTAATCAAAACCAACATTCAGAAAGTCTAACCGACGTAATCTTGCCCATTTTGGTTATTTTGATTTTTCTTTCCCCACTCTGTGTGTTCATGTACTGTCCCCTTCAAAACTTATTACCGTGTGTGTCGTCATGTGACTCCACCTCATCCACTCTGCAACATGGAAGCAGAGGCTACATTCACACAGCAGGTAAAAGTGGCCCAAATCTGATTATCTCACCAAATCAGATTTTTTTTGTTTGGCTGTTCACATTATCTTTTAAATGTGATCTGTATGCGACATCAGTCTGAACAAATCAGCTCCTAAACTGACCCGCATGGGCAAAAGAACAGAGCGTCACGTTGCTTCACGCGGCTCATCCAGAGGTAAACAATCACGACCGCCAACGAACGCCAGTCGCTCCCAGAGGATCAGCTTCATCTTCACCAGCATCACAGGAGCCATCATGAAGCTTCACTGAGTGACAGCTGGGCTCATCACCCAGAATGTGTTAGAGTTCGCTGTAAAAAGGGGGTGGTCACTTCTTTTGTTCACATACTTGGATTCTTTAAACTTTGCTTTCAGACTTTAATTGTTCTTTGACCTGCAGCCTCGTTCTCCTACGGCCACGTTCAGCTATTTCTTTCGAAACCTCTTCAAACACGGAGGGTTTTGGATGAGTCTCTTCTAATTTTTGTACAGAAGTATCAGCCCAAATGTTTGAGGTCTCAGCAGCGTGAAATTATGACGAATGTCGAGTTGGATTGACGTAAAAGTCACATTGATTCCGATCTGGCTATTAAGATGATTTACATTAAGATGTGCCGAGCATATTTACAAACCTTGTCAGTGAACTGTGAGGGCAAAAAAACAAACAAGACCAAAAAATCAATCAAAATAATTGTTCATTTATCGTAATCGAGGTAAAACATTCAGTTAATCGTGATATTGATTTGAGGTCATATCACCCAGCACTACGCTGCAGTTAAGTGTCAGGTCCTGAAGCACAGCTACTTTATTTCATTGTTGTCTTGGATGTAAATGCATATTGTGAAATATAGCCCTGTGCAAAAGTCGTAGGCACCTAAGCACTTTTTTAAAAGCCATTTATCTTGTTTATAAGTGTGTTTGCTTGGGAAAAAAAAACATATCATTGGAATAAATGCAAATAAACAAATAGTGTAAAAATAACAACAAGAAAATAAAACACTAGTTGATTTGTTGTGCACTGGTTAGAAAAAGAATGAATCCAGCTGTCTCATAGATTTGGTAAATCCCGTCAGCAGTAGGGTGGGCGATATGACAAAAAAAATTATATCACGATACTATGATACACAATGTGCATCACTATTTATTTTTTCTGAGCTTTAATAAGTTGGAACAGGCAAAATGGATCCTGTACATATAAAGAAACACTATAATAATCAAATTATTATTACATTGATATTTATTCAGTATTTTACAGATTGTGCTGAGAGAAATCCAGTTAAACAGGCCTGATTATGGTCACTTTATAATAGGACATTTAGTTAGTTAGTTTTATTAAAGTACTAAGTAGTAGACAATATTCACAGGATGCACAGCATGCTTAGAAAAGCATATTGTGATAAATTATATCACCATAATGATAAAATATCATCATATTATCCACCCCGACTAGCAGTACCTGATTTACCATAAACCCAAGTCGAAGTGTTGGATGGTAACTACAAATATTACTGGGCTTCCTCTAGGAGTGATTTGGAAATGGCTAACTGAAGATATTGACGTTCATAAAAGAAATACTTATTGTGTAAAGTGTTAATATGTATTCCAATGTTTGATTTTTCTGCCCACATTAGTAGCTTTTTGGATTATAATCTTCTCAGGTGCCTAAAACCTTTGCACTGTACTTGAGATCACAAAAAATGTTGGTAAAACTGAAAAGCCTGTGAGAAACTGAAATCACCCAGCACTACCAAAGACAGTTTTGAGAACATGACTAAGCTGAATCAAATGACTCGAAACCAGACTTGAGCATCTTGCGTAATATTTCTCTAGCATCTGTATGCTGACGTTTCAGCGCGGGGGGGAAAAAGGAAATAGATTTTTTTCAGTGGTCAGAAATTCCTGTTAGAGCTCAGTGATCACACTGTACAGTGAAAGCACATTTACACATCACCAGATGAGCCCATAATCACCCCGATTTGTGTGCTTTGTTTGTCAGTTTCGCTGATGTCTTCTGGTCTGTTTTCTAATTCTGGTTTAAAGCCCTCACATAACATGTCATTGACGACAGCAACGGTTTGAATATTACGTTCTCACATTAGTGCCAGTAATAGCTTAGTGGAGAAAGGCCTCCAGGCTACGTGTTCAGTTCGTGGTGTCTTCTGGAGAAGTGGCCCGGCTTGTCACGAGCAGAAAAGGGAAATGAATTGAACAATTTATCCCAACCGTTTACCGCTTATTATAAAATGGATAGTTTGCTTTAACCTCTTCAACTCCTTCAGACCACCGGTGGTTCCAAAACGCACTTCGTCATATCTTCATAACTTCCATATTTCATAAGCTACATTCAAAAGTTGGGTGTCATATGAGAGCTGTAACTGTCTTCTTTCCAGTCAGATAGATGGGTGATGTAGTTTTAAAACTTTATAGTAAAAGACAGAAAGTCACAAATTTTTTTTTCTACTGAAAAAAAATTAATTTACATTTCATGCAGTTACTGAATAATTTGCCTTACGATTTGGTCATGTTAATTCAGATGGACAAACCAAAATATACCCTGGAGAATAAGCATCTGTGTTTTAGTCAGAAGTTGTTTATCGAGTGTGGATGTTTCTGAGTGCCAATTGACTGTTTCTTAGCTGTTGCTCTGTTGTGCTGCAGGATTCCTATGTAGTGCACTATGTAGGGAGCAGGGAGCCATTTGCGATTCAGCCCTAGTGTGAGAAGAGAGGTGCCGCTGGATTGGTGCTAAATAAGACTCGTGGTGGTAATTTGGTGAATAAAAGTAGTTATAAAGCACAAGTTTTTGCATTAAACAGTGCTGTGTTATCATATGTTCACTGTTATATGACAAAGTTTGAAAAACATGAAATCGCCACCGTATACGGCGATGGGCGACCAAACGTTCTCCTCATTCAGCGGTCTGTGGTTGCTTGGCAATGATACCGTAATCTAAAGGAACTACATTTTTGTAGGAATACTTGTTTAGGTTGATTATTATTAACAATAACTTACACAATTTTTCAGAAAATAATTCATTTTGTCATATTTCATGTTATCACAGAAAATTCCCTGAAAATTCCCTTCCTGTGATAAAACCGCAGTAACACACAGCCTCTCGTGGCTTAAATGTTCATTACAAAGAATTTTCTTGTAAGACGGTGATTTTTAAATGTGTTAACCAACATGAATGATTTAGGCTCTGCTGGTATAAGAAATATAAGAACTAAATAGGTCAGCAACACCAGAATGAACCTAATTTAACTTTTGGGAAAATAACATTTGGTCTTCACTCTGCTTCTGTTTGGCATGCCCAGCAGGGCTGCATGGTGAATCTCATTTTTATCTTTAATGTGAGTTTCCCTGATAAACATAACATTAAGAGTTGACCTCATACACCTGGCACAAGCCATTAGAAGCTTAATGAGTGTTTCCCTGTGCTGGGATTGAACTCTGTTCACCCAGGTGGAGGAAAAGTAACTTAACCATTAGGCTATACAGCTAGTTACAAAGTGCAGAGCTAAAAAACTCCTTCCATCCTAAACTACACACCTGTAAAAACGCATCAAACATTGTGATGGTTCTTACATGCAGTATTGTGTTTTAACTATGCAAGGCAGTAAAGGCTACTGTCATAACAAACATATTAAATAACTAAACAAATTGATATCATATTCATTTGTTAGTGTCTGTATGAAAAATAAGTATATATTTATTCATTTTTGTAGCCTTTAGAAAAGGCTGACTGTGTCTCAGCCTTTCAGTGCACACAAATGCTCTTGCGGTTCTGATGTAAGCAGCTGATTTATTTATTTTCATTTTGCACAATAGTAAATTGTGCTTTGTATTTTGTTATTTACTTAAAGGAGAGGTTAGACACATCCAAAAAAGTGTCTGAACCTGTCAGATCCAGTCCACACTGTTTTAATAATAATTTATAGCTTCTTATTGAACATTGTGTTTTATGTACATATTTTACAGCCCTAATGTCCAGTGATTATTCCAGATGGCCGTTACAGGGATTCAATAGCCTGTTTTTTTGTGAATTACAAAGAACGCAAAGCTTCAGGGTCAAATAACCCAATTACTCTGTACACATTGTGCTCTCTTAGTTGTTTCCTCTTTATTTTCTTCTGTCAGTTTGTTTCAATTCAGTTGCATTCAACAAATGTTGCTCAGCAGTTTCAGCCTGTCAGGCTTTTGGTCCAAGCAGGCATGTTAGTGGTGCTCTGTTCTGAATCCATCATTAGAGGTTTTGGCAGAATAGCTGATCTGTAAACAGGGGCATTATTTGCTGTTGGTTTGTTAGATACATTTAGTTATTCATTCATAGTCACAAGAATCTTGTCAGGAACAGAATGTCCTCTCAGCACAGCGAAGGCCTGTGAGGTTGTGAGAAGAATGCAGTTGTCAAGTTTTTTTTTGATTGAAAAGATTGTCTCAAATTGTAGAATAGAGTTGTACACTTTAATGTTAGCCTTTGGCTGGGTAGTGTGGTGATTACAGCCTGACGTAGATGAAAAGTCTGCTTTTTTTAGATTAAAGTCTAAAATCATTATTGGTCTTTACCATAAAATCGTTACCTGTTGCCCTTTTTTTAGTATGTTAATTTCATATGTGTGTGTATGTGTGTGTATATATATATATATCTCAGAACAGAGCACCACTAACACGCCTGCTGAGCAACATTTGTTGAATGCGTGAATTGCCACACTGACCCAAATATTTGAGGTCTCAGCAGTGTGAAATTCTGACAAATGTTGAGTTGAATTGACGTAAAAGTCACATTGTCGCAAAAGTTGCATTACCGCATATCAGATATGTATCAGATTGGATCGAATTTGGGTCTTTTTTCCCCTCGAGCCAACAGTTGGCATTGAGCATGGTGACCTTAGGCTTAGTGCGGTTACTCCAGTGTCGCATTCTGTTAGTCAGTATTTTTCTATGTAGCTGCATGAGTACATTTGATCACCTGTATCAGCGGTGGGTGGCCGAATTTACTCATTACAAGGACTGTCTGTTAACAACAACAAAACTCTTTTCGTTTTTTAGAGCTCCTCACAGACATGGCAGACCCGCAGATGGAGGCCTCAGCAGGGGCTGAGCTAATGGAAGAAGGAGAGCCTTTCCTCAGCAACCTGGACATCTTCCTCTTCTCCCTCATTGTGGGTCTAATCATATACTGGTTCATGTTCCGCAAGAAGACTGAGGCCATCCCTGAATTTAAGAAGCTTGAATCTCCGTAAGTGCAGATTGTTTGTTAGATCTTGGACCTAAATAACATCTGAGAAAAGGGCTGCGGAGTCTTTTGTAGGGCTGTAGGTTCTTTACTGAAAACTTTAATACTGTAAAACCGTTCTGAGTCTTTGTGTTTGTCCCCTTTGATTCAAATCTGAGTAGTTGGTGAGCATGCGTGTCCGCATTAGGTCAGTAAAATGGATCAGTATGAGGAATCTGAGCTTTCTGTGAGCCACTGTGTTTCCTATCACTGTATAAAAGAGGCTCCATGCTGCCTTTATTGTTGGATGCCCTGCGATGATTTCTGAGCGGCGCACGCCTTTATATCACTATGCAACCCTCATTAGTGATCTGTTTCATCAGAGGAACAGTAAAAAAGCAGCTGATATGTAAAATACAAAGTGATTCAAAAAGATTCATCTGATTTTAAAATTATTTGTTTCACTTGTAAATCATTACAGAACAATGCAGTAACTGTAAATGGTTTAAGTGAGCATAAAGTTTATGTAATTGTACAAGTGCTCAATATGAACCTCCTCCAGCTGTATGGACAACATACATATATATGAACAACTCCATAGTCAAATTCATCCCATACTCGATTGAGCATGTCGGGTGTCACTGCACTCATGGCTCTTTCAGTGTGATTTCGGAGATCATCCAGTGTTGTGGAACCAACGCCAAACGCTCTGAGCTGTTGGAGGTTCACTGATGACCAAAATCATGCTGCACAGTTCTGACTGATTCATTCTGATTGAAGTGGTTTCCGCTCAGGGGTCTTATCTCCTCTCAGACTGAAGGGAGCCATCTTCCACTGACAGTCAGAAACTCTATGACCCCCTCTTTCAATTGGATTGTGATTGGTTCCTAGACGCCTCACGGTTGTGAAAATATGGCACTTTGAAATCAGATGAATCTTTTTGAATCGCCCTGTATTTTTGTTTTCTTGTGTTTGCTTCATGTACACGTTTACAGATTTTCTAGATTTACTAATCAAATTAATGCAACAACTGATATTTAACATCCTGTTATTAACAGAGGAGCCATGTGAATTTAACACCCTTCGATGAATTGTTTAAGCTTTTTTGGGAGGCAGCTATAACTTAAATTTTTATATATATAGTATATTACAGAGGTGTCAGATTAATAACGTGCAACAGTACAATGCAGAAACAGTTTCAGCTTTGTTCTGAAAGGTCAAACTGCATCACCTGAGTGTCTCTGAAAGTTTCTTTACTCTTATAAGCTGCTCTTAAAGTGGGGCTAATGCTAGTCAAAATTTTTTATTTATTTATTTATTCCTAAAGGCCGTATGAATTCTAGTAGTTGTGATTTTTGGAATTTAATTTGTTAGAGGGCAGCACAAGAGACATTGAAAAATAATTTGAGAGCTTCTGTTTATCGCTGCAGTCGGAAGAAAACCTTTTTGTATTTTTGTCATTTTTCAGTTTTTGACACAATTTAAAAATACCCGTTGTCCTTTACATTGTGTGTAAATTTCATGATGAAAGGACCAACAACACGGTTATTCTATTTATGTGCTATATAGAGTTAAATTATCTTAGGGAACCATTATGAAGGGGTGTACTCTGAACGTGATTTGGTTCATAACCTTCAAAGTGCACTGAAGTTCGTTGAGAAATAGTTTCTAGTAGGCAGATGTCAGAATGTTTCTGACTAGACTATTGATTTGTCCTCCCTTAACACCGAAGGTCAGTATCACTGAGTTATTGCTGTACCACGTTTAGTGCACTGACCACTCTTAATGCAGCTCACCTTTGCACAAACACCGGTGTTACATCTTCTGCCTCGTTTACCTTCCTTTCACTGATTACAGTCCTCCACACCCACTGAGAGGTGGTGAAAAGTTCAGCATTTAGCTCCCAGGGAAATAGCCAACATTCCACTTGCTTTTAGGTAATTTCATGCTTGTAACAAAACCTTTCTTTAGCAACCCTATACAGCCTGTTTCCAAGGGCTTTTCTCCTTAAAGGGACCTCAACTGCTGTTGAGGACATATCTGATTACAAAAGAGATTATGTCACATTTCCCCTTGCAGTCTGGCTGTGTGAAATGATGGAACTGAAATCAGTTGTTGTACAATCTTTTGTTAATAATAATTTCTGGGCTCACAGCTCAACATTTATCCTTTTAGCTGTGTGCTAGTAAGGATGTCCAGGTCCAGCTTATCTTTTTCGGTGTTGGCATGAGTAATATTGCTTTCTATTTTAGTAAATAAAACAGCCACACAGTCCACTTTGCACAGACACCGATCCGACATATCATGACCACCTCCTTGTTTCTATGCTCCTTGTCCATTTAATCAGCTCCACTTACTATATAGGTGCACTTTGTAGTTCTACAATTACAGACTGTAGTACTATTTGGGTGGTGAATCATTCTCAGCAGTGCAGTAACACTGACATGGTGGTGGTGTGTTAGTGTGTGTTGTGCTGGTCTGAGTGGATCAGACACAGCAGTGCTGCTGGAGTTTTTAAACACTGTCCACTCACTATCCACTCTATTAGACGCACCTGCATTGTCAGTCCACCTTGTAGATGTAAAGTCAGAGATGATGGCTTATCTGCTGCTGCAGTGACACTGAGGTGTTTAAAAACTCCAGCAGCACTGCTGTGTCTGATCCACTCGTACCAGCACAACACACACTAACACACCACCACCACGTCAGTGTTACTGCACTGCTGAGAATGAACCACACCCAAATAGTACCTGCTCTGTGGTGGTCCTGACCACTGAAGAACAGGGTAAAAGGGGGCTAACAAAGTATGCAGAGAAACAGATGGACTACAGTCTGTAATTGTAGAACTACAAAGTGCACGTATATAGTAAGTGGAGCTGATAAAATGGACAATGAGCGTAAAAATTAGAAGGTGGTCATAATGTTATGCCTGATCGGTGTATCTTTCCATGTTTTGTGGTTCTAGCTAACACCAGCTTGACTGGATAGCCAGTTACAGCTGCGCTTTCTCTGCCTTCATGTCCTTAACAGCGCTTCTTTGGCAACACGTTGCTTACTTTAAAGCAACACTATGTAGGATTTGGGGATTTGGAGACCTCTCTGGTGGAAATGTGCAATTGCGCGCAACATGCGTATGAGCGTTTTGTTGATTGTGCTTCACACTGGATTTTGCAAAAGTGTTGAAAGAGAATTAGAAGAGAAATCGGTCTAAACCTGGTGAAGGACGTGTCTTCCGAGGGTGTAAGTGAATTGCCTACTGTTCTCATCACATCTTCATCAGTGTAATGTTGATTTTGAGATCATTTGAGACCTAAACATTGAGCCTGACCTTATTTTGAGTTTTGTCATGTGACGTTAAAACGTAAAGACGTGTGATGTGGTGTGAAAAACTCTCACCAAATCCGCCCCGGTTTTTTTAAATGCATATCTTCTTTCTAATTTGTTATTTCAGTTTTTTAATGCTGCCACCTTGACTGGTTAACTGAGCACCCATGCAGAGTACTGATGATGCTGCAAGTTCACATTAAGCACAATCTGTTCATCTTGTCCTGTCTTTGCAGATGGCTGACAGATTGTTGTTCTCTGGTTTTGTTCTTTGGGTTTTTCTGATTATATCAGTGCAATGTTTGCCTGTTGCTGTGCAGCAGGGCTGCAAGATATGAATAAAATGCCATTTTGCAATTATATTGCTAGATATTGTGGTTGCAGTGTATCTCGCAAGACGTTTAAAGTTTATTTTCATGCTTTGAGATAACAGTAAATGTAGTGTTCCGCATTATTTTAACCAACATTGGTTGCATGTGTTGGATGAGCTCAACTGAATTAAACAGGCTGTTACTGTGTCTGCAGGACTGGTACATGTACTTATGCAAAAAGAAGTATGGGCTAACACTGCTTATAACTTCAGTCTGAACGGGCAGAGCTAGACTGCTGTAGGCTGTGTGGGTGGATGTGTATCGCTGTTATCGGAACAAAACCTTGTATCTCCAAAATGGTGACTTTACAGGAGAAGGAAAAAACCTACTTTACTTTCAATGTAAGTCAGTGGAACCAGACTTTTTTCCAAGTCGTTTTGGGTCGTTTCTTTTGGTCCATTTATCATGAAATTTACACACAATGTAAAGGACAACAGGCATTTTCAAATTATGTCAAACTGACAGCGATATGCAAATGTGCTGTTTTTTTTTTTTTGCGACGTCACAAACAGTGAATTCAAAATGAGCTGCTTTTGCCGCATAGTCTATATGGAGTCCAGAGTGAATGTTTATATACTACATCAAACTTTATAGGCCCTTTAACAAAAGCTAATACCCAAGATTATTTTGTTAAAACAGCTTTTTGGTCGACGCTTTTAGTTTTCTGATACAAACACTTCATTTTAAATCATCTGAATGCACCACAAGGCCTAATGTGAATGGGACCCCTGTTTAAAGGCCAGTTCTTTTTCTCTCTCTCTCTGTCTCTCTCTCCCTCCCTCTCTCTCCCTCCCTCTCTCTCTCCCTCTCTCATGCTTAATGCGAGACCATTGAGCACATGTGAAAACGCACGCAGGCATGACTTGATCAACCCTAAGACGAGTCTTCTTTCTCCCCTCGTTCCCTCTCTTCCGTGGGGAGGATCTTTGTTAGACTGCAGCGAAGGCTGTGCAGGAAAGTAAAACCACATATTCTCTTGGGGTCTCAGAGGAATGGAGCGAGTGAAAACTCTGGTTCGTGCCTGGGTTCAGTCCCTGCCCCCATACTGTTTCCGTTCTTGTTCCTCGTGAAAGAGAGTGCATCTTGTACTGAGCCTCCACCTCCCCCCACCCCCCTTTAGTTTTTTTGTGTCCCAAAACCTTGTAACGTTCCCTGGAGAGCGTGAGAGTAAAAGGCCAGCCAGCGCTTTCTCTCGAGGTGGAAAGTTGAGCCGAGAGACAAGCCCCCCATTCTGTTTCCCTTTCTGTTTTTCCTCCCTGCTTCCTTTCTCCAGCCGAGACCATCTCTAATTTGCTTTCGCCACTTCCCTGAATGGCACAGGGCCTGGCT